GGTGTATAAATTGTATAATGTATAAATTACCCAGGTCAGGTTTGAATCTGACAAAGCACCCTTTGTCGGAGGGGATCGAACTTCGAGCTATTGCAACTTAAAGACGACAACAAAAGCCAACATGTTTAACGAACAAGAGTGAGCCTTAGGTTAGATGGTTAGATCATGTTAGATCAATATATATATATATAATATACATGTGTTTGCCACGGAAAACAGCGAGGTCAGGCTTCAACCCAACGATGTCGACGTTGGAAAGGACGATGTCTCCAGTCTCCCTGTACTGGAATTTGGAGCCATAGTGGCAATGGCACCACAATGCAACTAGAGCTCTACCATGCTCTAATTTGGGCGGGCGAAAAATTGAATTGTACCAGTAGGTCGTTCTTCGCTTTGAAAAAATGACCCACAGCTATATATGAACACATATGCACGGGATTGCACGGGCCACTTCGAGTAGAACAAAATGGTTCCAACATGTCCTAAAGACATCCAAAGACTATCTGGAATGGGTTTCAAGGTGTTTCTTGCGCTTCCCACGCTGAGAAAAAATATCATTCCCGGGCCTGTTGGTGTCACCCTTGAAGTTGTCAGTGGCCACCTACGTGACAAAGTTTTGGGAATGGACCATCGACGTTTACAATGTTTACCATCAAAATAGGACATTGAACCACTAAAAGAGGTGGCTTATATAACCAGCAACGAAGAACATGTAATCAACGACAAGACATTCGCTGGATTTCTTTGCAAATCATGAAATCTACGGGTCATACGCGTTGTTCTATCACCATTTAACTGCTGATGATTTTCCATGATTTTCCCCATTTGTAGGTAATATGTCCTTGACCTGCTGTCGACTTTGTTGTAACAGTCCCCAACTCCTGTGATGAAATTCATACATATTATTGTCATGTAATTATTGTATATTATTGTATTGTAGCTTGACCTAACCTTGTATCATCAGCAAAAATGGGGTACCAGATGGTACTGGTAGGAAACTCTTCGGACCGGGGCTGCAAACCTGGAAAATGAAAACCATATACTACCAAACAAAATGAGGATTCATAGGGAAACAAAGTAAAACATGCTAAAACAATATAACACAGATATTACGAAAATACACTAATGTCAACGCAAACAAACAGGATGGCTGAAACCACACTTGCGAAAAACCGGACAAATCGTAAGAATATAAGAAAACCTAGGAAACATTGCAAAACAAATAAGAAAAACTACGAACACATATGTTAAGAACATGTGAACACATAACATCAGAGACCGGGATGCCGGTCATTTTCCAACACCAAGAAACGGTCATTTTCCAACACCAAGATTCGGTCATTTTTCAACACAACTCCATAAATTCAAGCGCGGAATTCTCACCGCCGCCAAGATTCTGCACAATGTAGCCGAAAAAAGAAGGGATACTGGCTCTTATGGGACTCTTAATCACATCTCGGCGCACACACGAATTTTTACATTTATATGCTATTTGTTTTTTGAATGGATATATGGAATAATGCTTAAAGTTCATGTAAGGTTTTTTGAAACTGTTTCGGGTTGGTTTACAGTTTCAATTACGGTTGGTTAAGAGTTTATTCAGGATTGGTTTGAAGTTTATGTAGGATTGGTTCCGGATCTATCTGGAGTTGGTTTAGGACCTATTTAGGGTTGGTTAAGGTTTGTTCAGGGTTAGTTTGGGAGCTATTCAGGCCTGGTTTAAGATTTATTTAGGGTTGGTGTAAAGTTTATTTAGGCTTGGTTTAACATCTATATATTTGGGGTTGGTTTAGAATCTATTTAGGGTTGGTTTTAGGCTTTATTTCGGTTTGGTTTAGATTCTGTGTAGAGTTAGTGTAAGACCTACTCAGGGTTGGTTAAAAGTTTCGCGGTGGTTTAGGATTTTTTTAGGCCTGGTTTACATCTATTTAGGGTTGGTGAGGGGGTTATTTAGGCTTGGTTTAACATGGATTTGGGGTTGGTTTAGGATCTATTTAGGGCTGGTTCAGGGTTTATTTAAGATTAGTTTCAGATTTATTTAGGTAATGCTTAGGATTTACTTAGAGTCGGTATGAGAAACAAAAGAAAAGCAGGGAAAAGCAGAGAAGCAGGTAAGCAGAAAAAAACAGAGAAGCAAAGAAGCTGGAAAAGCATAAAAGCAGGGAAAAGCAGAAAAGCGGAGAAGGAGAGAAGCAAAGAAGCAGAAAAGCGGGAAAACGCAGAAAAGCAGAGAAGCAAGCCAGCAGGAAAAAGCGGAGAAGCAAAGAAGCAGGGAAAAGCAGACAAGCCGGGAACCAGAAATCCAGAAAAAAAAACAAAACAAAAACGGAAGAAAGAAACAACAACTATCCCTCCATTACTTACTCGTATTTAGGGTTTGTTTAAAGTTTTCTGTGGTTGGTTGAAGGTTTGTTTGCGGTTTATTTCAGGTCGCTTTGGGGTTTATTTAGGGTTGTTGTAAAATCTATTGAGGGGCAGTTTCTGGTGCATTTGGTGGTGATTTAGGGTTTATTTTGAATTGGTTTAGAGTTTACTGAGGGTTGTTTTAAAGCTTATTTAGGATTGGTATAGTGTTTATTCATGATTGGTTCAAGTCTGATTTAGGGTTGGTTTAGGGTTTATTTAGGGTTAGTTTGGGGTTATTTGGAGTTGGTCTATGTCTGATTTAGCGTTGGTTTAGGGTTGCTTTGGGATTGTTTAGGGTTGTCAGAATTGGTTTTGAGAATTGGTTTTGAGTTGGTGTAGAGTTTCTGTAGGATTTATTTACAACTCATTTCCGGCGTATTTAAGGTTTATTCCGCAAAGCTACATCGAAACCAATGATCTTAACAACCCCAACCAAGAACCTCCGGAAACGAAGCAACTAACACAAACACTGCGGAAACCTACGGGATCACATTTAAAACCCAAACAAGAAACTCCTAAAGCAAGAAAGCGAGAAACCAAGAAACCGATAAACCAAGATACCCAGAAACAAAAAAAACAGAAACCAAGAGACCCAGAAACCGAGAAACCAAGAAACCCAGAAACCCAGAAACCAAGAGACCCAGAAACCCAGAAACCAAGAGACCCAGAAACCAAGAACCCCAGAAACCGGGGGAACAGAAAGATAGTTGCAAAATGAACGCACGAAATTTAGACACGGAGTAACAGCCCTGGCGCGTTGAGAAATGACCCTTGGCGCGTTGAAAAATGACCTAAATACCACGTTGTAAAATGACCATTTTCTCGCGTTGAGAAATGACCCCCCTTCCATCAACCTCCAAAGACTCTTTTCTTTTTGTCTGTGCAGTACGGTATTTGTCTTGATTGGTTGTCCTCCCAGCTAGTACCCTACGAGGGTGGTGGTTGAGCCCGCTCTTGAGCCTCGAAATACGACGTTCATATTTGAACACGGGGTATACGGTATTACCTCACATTCACTGGGTAATCACCTGTTATACCCGCTGGCTTTTTGACATAGTCATGGAACATGGCCAATTTATAGATGATAAATATTATGATGTACAGTAACTATATGAATCTATATGAAACATCGTGATTTTCCATAGCTACGTTAAATAACCAGAGGCTACGTTAAATAACTGGGAGTATCCCCCAGGCAATGCACCGCCCTGCACTCTCCCAAGATTCCAAACGTGCCTGACGCGTGGGAGACAGACCCCAGTCCATGGCAACGAAAATTGGGACCCAGTCTGATCCCCAGAAATGATGGCCAGTTCCAGGCTGTTGCCGTGAGAACATGCATTGAAACATTGAAACCCGGTGAGAAAAAAAGCCAACTTGCTAGATCCTGGAAGCGTTGAGATTCATGGTGCCAAAGAGGAAAAGCTGCAGAGCAGATCGGAAACTGTTTTCACCAACTTGAAGAACGTTTCAACCTAAAACACGATTCCAAATCATATCATATCATTCTGATGATATGATGTCATATATCATATCATATCAGATGAGATAGTATATCATATGATATCATTATCATATATTATCATAATCATACCACATCATCTGGGTAAATTATACTAATTCACTCACCTGAAATAAACAGGGTCATTTGGGGATAGTTACAGTATCCCAAAAAAAACCCATCATTCTCAGCCGGATGACTCGGATGACTCGAGGTTCTCACTGCTCCACCAAGCATTCCTGAACCAAATCCTCCCAGCCATATATATATATATATATGTACAATCGAATACAGTATATACACCTGATAACCCTGTTGGACACTAGATATATGATGATAGATGATGATATATGATGATATGTGATGATATATGATGATATATGATGATATATGATGATATATGATGCTATATGATGATATGTGTTGATATATGATGATATATGATGATATATGATGATATATGATGATATATGATGATATATGATCATGGCACATCAGGGGTAGCAGGCATACAAATGCATGGTGTCTATCTATCTAGATATCGATCTATCTACCTATCTACCCATCTTTGTATCTGTCTAGCTAGCTTTATATTTATGTGCAAAGAAAACTGATCCAAAAATCACCCAAATGCAGGTATCCCGTAGATAGTGGTAGATATACACAAGTGGATGGGATGGCATGACATACATACATACATACATACATACAAACATACATACCCTGCATGACTTCTTCAACTGCAATTGGCAGGGACACCTGTAGGAACCCGCTTCCACCAAGTATTTTTTGTCTCAGGGTGCCTGAAGGCCAAAGATCATCACTTTGCAGCTATGTACAGCAGGTACCCCTAGCGCAATGATTTTGTTCCTAGGCCGGGACAAACATTCAGTGTTGAGGAACAAAACAGAGTGACTTTCGAAGTTTCCATGTGTGCCTGAATCTCATCGCACATATATATATATATATGTATGTATGTATATCGTTATATCATATATATATATATTATCATATATATATTATATAAATATATGTGCAGACATTGCTCCTGCCAATCAAAAACTTATTGCATGTCTATCTGTATCTTAAGAAACACATGAAAAAAACGTATGGCATCGTCCGAGGGCATGCCATCAATGGCATGTTTCTGTTGCACGTCATTTGACGCGGGCCGCTTTGTTGGAAGTCTCGTCTTGGAAGGTCACCCTCTTCCGCCAGTTCCTGTGGCTTCCCATGGTTGGATCTCTTGGAGCACATCATCATGTCCTACGGATGAAACACAACGTACCGTACGTAAATATCTATAGTATATAAATGGACCCCAAACAGATCCCAAAATATGGGGGTGTCTGGGAAAACAGGATACCCCGAAAAATTTGCTGCTTCATCATTTTCCTGATTCACCTTGCCAGTTTAGGGTATCCCCTATTTTTGGCCAATGTTTGTTCCAAGGCCAACGACCCCCAACATCGGCCGACTGGACAGCCCCTGGGACTCCCCACTTTAACAACGGAGCACGTCCCTGTGTCACCTCCGCTGTGAGGGGCCAAATCGACGGTACAGCGATGGGGCAACTGTGGTGTACCCTCTGGTAAACGTTAACCGTTAACATAACTATGGAAAATCACCATGCTATTCATGGGTAAATCATAAATCAACGTAATCAACGAACTTTCTATGGCCATTTTCAAGTTCGCAAACTGTGGCAGTATACCAGAGGGTAAATCCCATTCATATCCCATAGAAATAGATGGTTTACCTATAAAAAATGGCAATTTTCAATAGCTATTTAGACATAACCAGAGGGTATATCCCATTAAGATCCCATTAAAATCCCATTAAATCACCGAATTACCAGAGGGTAGCCTCACTGGATCTTGTAGGCTGCGTCTTGTGGTAGGTCCACCAAGTAGCTCCAGCCATCCAGCCAACTGTTGAAAATCGGGATGATATGGCCCACTAGGATTCAACACAATACACACTATGTATATATATATATATGTATTATACATATATATATATAGTTATAAAATATATAGTTATATATAATTTAATATATATATAATTATACATATATCTATAATTGTAATTATACATAATTATATATATATATATATCTCTCCATGTTTGAATATGGATCATGATGTTGCAATTCCAATCAAACCACCAATGACATTGTCCGTTCCTCACGGTGGTGGACCCGGTGGACATGACCGCCTTCCAAGAGCTGCTGGGCCCCACCGTTGGCTCGGAAACTGGGCGTGGTGCCGCAGTGCCACGTGCTGCGAGGTCATATATATATATATATAATATAATATAATATAATATAATATAATATAATATAATATATATATATATATTATATACTGTACACTGTATATATGATCTTTATATGATATTAGTATGTATCCCCTCCGGTAGTGAAACGTGGTTTGCTGGAAGTTCTTCACCCTTTAGTTCGATGATTAAAACGGAAATTCGACATCCATTCTTGATGGGGATTTCCTAGCCACATTTGATGACACCAAAAGGTATATGAAAGAATGGCGATCTGGTTGGTGGTATACCTACTCCTCTGAAAAATGATGGAGTTCGCCACTTGGGATTATTATTCCATATATTATGGAAAAAAATGGAAAATAAAACATGTTCCAAACCACCAACCAGCGATACAATCAAATATTGCCATTACCACAAGATTTCCATGAAGAAAAATGCCATTCTCCATCTTTGGAATTCGGAAGTCCCTAAAATCTTCGATGGTACAGGATGGTGCCCCCCAGTTATGTTTGTTGGTATATAAACCCCATTAACTATAGTTATATCATGTATTATCATGTTATATCTACCATAAACCGTAGAATTCAGCCACTTATAAGGCAACTGAACGCTATCGAACGGAGGCCCTTTTTCATGGATCCCCCATCCTGTACCATCCCTATAGTCCCTAAAATCTTCGCCGTGAACGCGGCCGCCTGGGGCGCTTGGTGCACTTGGCGCATGCCCAAAGTCGTAGAGCACTTTGCAGAGACCCGTGCCCACATTGATGGTGCTGCCCATGATGATGCACCTGGAGTGGTGGTTCCTGAAAACAGGAAAGATCACTAGAATCTATAGGATTATTTAGATAGGATTACCCTCTGGTAAACGTTTACATAACTATGGATCATCACCATTTTTACTAGGTAAATCAACTATTTCTATGGCAATTTTCAATAGCAAACTGTTTGTTTACCAGGCCAGATAAATAGATAAGACATGATAAGACTGGAAGGGGATCAGCCAAGCCGTGGAAGTCCGTGGAATGCCCATGCCGCCATGCCCACCAAACTTAGTTATGGATAGTTATGGATGCTCATCCCTAAACAAATCGATAGAAATACCATGAAAAAATAGCTGAAAAATATGCTTTAATCTTAGGGGGATGGGAATATCACTGTCGGATTTTTCGGCACTTTTTTATTTGTTCGGCTACCAGAACTTCAATTCCAGTTGCAAAAATCCTCGTACCCTCTGGTTATTTAACGTAGCTATGGAAAATCCCAACCATAAATGGAGGTTTAGTTCGCTGGGAAAATCATCTGTTTCTATGGGCCATGGCTTCCATAGCTATGTTAGTCATAACCAGAGGGTACCCTCTCTGGTAAACGTTTACAAAAAACTATGGAAAATAACAATGTTCAATCGGAACATCCACTATTTCTATGGTCATGTTCAATAGCAAACTGTTAGTCATAACCAGAGGGTACCCTCTGGTAAACGTTTACATAACTATGGAAAATAACCATGTTCAATGGGAACATCCACTATTTCTATGGTCATGTTACCATGTTCAATAGCAAACTGTTAGTCATAACCAGAGGCTATATCCCATTCATAACCCATTTATAGATGGTTTACCTATAAAACATGACAATTTTCAATAGCTATGTAACAAATTACCAGGTTGGCTATTTTCCCATATTTTCCCGATGAAACTGCCATGGATCCCCATGGATCCAAGACATCCAAGGCGCTCGCTGACGCCCTTGATGGGATCCACCCGCGCACGCGCGGCGGCGTCGAAGACCAGATCAGTGGTGCGTTCGAAGGAGGCTAACCTCGGAGTCCCAGGATATCCAGGGGAAATACCCTCTGGTAAACTAACATAGCTATTGAAAATGGCCCATTTATAGTGGATTTACCCATCAAAAATGGTGATTTTCCATAGCTTTTTGTATGTTTACCAGAGGGTATCTGGAATACCCTCTGGTAATTTAAGTAAATCATCATGGATATCCTGGGTTTAAGAGTAAAAAAAACCATGATTCCAGAGGGTATTCCAGAGGGTATTCTATACTCTAGCTATAAACAATCACCATTTTTAAGTAAACCATCTATTTCTATGGGCCATCTATACCATACCAGAGGGTATCTGGAACCATTGAATTCCCGACTTCCAGATATTTCCTATTGATATTTCCAGATTGTTTTGGAAATCTCAGGGATACCAAAAAGGAAATATCTGGAAATATCATGAAACACGTATCCCAGAATAGACTTTTGGTGTGGAAATATCCCAGGGATACCAATGGGAATAGAATGGGATAATGATATAATGAGAATATTATAAGATACACATATAATTTAGTATACAATGGGTTTTGTTGGGAATATAATGGGATACTGGGGATACTTCTTTGGTGCATGATGTTGGATGTAAATTCTTGGGACTACTGGACGAACCCTGATGGGAAATTGGAAACAAATGGGAACAAGTGGGGTCTCAAGCTATACAAATCTTTTCTACCATTGATCGATGTTTTCAACTTGTTGAACAATCCCGAGTATTTACCAGCTATTTGTACCATTTGCTTCGAAATCGGGCATAGATGGATTTTTTAAAGAGATACTTAAAGCCCAAGTTATCCTCTTCCATTATGAAAAGGAAGTAGCTGCAAGTAAAGCTGGCAAGTTTGTACTCCTAGATCCCAACATATCCCAACCATTCCCAAGCCAAAGGCCCCAAGCTATCTGGGTCCCAAAAACATGCTACCGAATTCGGCAACATGGTTTATGAATGTTTATCATAACTTGATAGCCATTATTTCATAGTCATTACTTGGCTTATCATCCCAATTGCTAATCATTGTTGCCCAAAAAGAACATATCAGATTATATATTGGCTTTATATCCCAGTATATATGTCATCACATCCCCTTTTTTTTATCCCCGTAAAAAAAAAAAAAACATGACGCTTGGCTAAAAACACTCCCATAGAATTTCTTCAATCCACCAAATTTTCTTAAATCAAATCCCATGATTGTTGGTTTTTATATATGGCAGTGGGTCAAAACCTTGTACCCCTGGTGAACCTCAAAATAGCTGGTAAATGGATGTTCATTCCCCTAAAAATGGTATTAATACGTATTGATCCATAGCCATATATCTTTATAAACTTTATGATGCTAAAAATATCCCAATTTTCACCAACTGGGGGCCCCCCAAAAAGGTCCCTTTTCTGTCGTCCAGCTGCATAAGGGCAGATGTTCTCATCCGGCTGATACCGAAGCGATTGATCCCCAGGACCTGTCAACATATGGAAAATGGCCATAGAAATAGTGAGTTTTCCCATTAAAAATGGTGGATCTTTCTATAGTTATGTAAACGTTTACCAGGGGGTAATGGGGTTTATAAACCAACAAACATAACTGGGGGGCACTATCCGAAAAAAAATTGGGATGTGATTTACTGAATTCGAACCAAAGTGAGGAATGCGACTGATGATGCAAGCAAACGGTGGATGAAATTGGGATGTTCAAAGCAAGTGACGTAGGGATTGGAGCAATTGAATTTGGAGGTTTAGTGATGTTTAGGGCGGATATTACTAGTGGAAAATGGAGAGATTTCAAAACTTGATGGTTGAGCAAAATCTGAAAATAGCTGCTAGATCATTTCCATCAAACGTTATTATTTTCTGCAATCCCAAAGCATGTCTTCTGTGCAACCAGGGGAATGGTTTCCACTTGGAGGATCAAACTAGTGAGTACCTGGATACTAACCCTGGTTAAGAAGTCCCCCCGTAACTAGGCTTCTCTCATTTATAAACGGGTTATAAGTTATGACATGTTATCAACTAACCACCATTTTAAACGGTATGATCCATGATGATCCAAAAAAAAGGGAACATATGGGAAATCTATTGGAAATTTCCCCTATAACTATATCATATATATATATATATGATTATGATTAGATATGATTTCCCATATTTTTCCCATATTTTTCCCATTTTTCACGTCATGTGATGATCCTCCAAGTCATCAACTTCCGAATTCTCCCCTGGTTTCGCTGCCAACTTCGCCGCTAAGCTCTGGGCCGCACCGCGTGAGGTCATGCAATCACCTAACATCTGGATGTGTCGCGCCTCAGCTTGGGGCGCAGGGATGAAAAATCCCCAAGGCATGGAAAAAATTGCCATTTATAGTGGGAAAATGATGACATATAGGGGAAAATAGAAGGCATTTTAGAAGGCTGGTTGGTGGTTGACCTAGCCCTCTGAAAAATATGAAAGTCAATGGGAAGGATTATCCCATATATTATGGAAAATAAAAAGTGTTTGAAACCACCAACCAGAAGGTAATATGGGAAAATGATGAATCTATTGGAATTGCGGCGCCCCTCAATTTTCAGACGAACTTACACATTTCAAATAGTAGCTAACCGCTAGTCAATAGATAGCCTATTGTACTCCACTGATGTATTTGCTCAACGGTGAACCCATTGGCGTGTCCCCTTCACCATTAAGATATATAGCTTATCCTAGTCAGGAAGGTGCTTGATAACTTGTCCTGGCTACAGCAGACCACAGCTAGGTATGCTAAACCACGTGGACATGAAGTACTTCAACCCCACCAAGATTTATGCGTTCTACGAACACACGAACGCCCGGCTGCTACAAAAAAAAGACACAACTTTTTCAGAAACAGGAAGTCACAACTGTTAGAGCTGCAACTCTCAATTCTATCTCTCTCTCTCTCTATATTATATATATGATGATGATTAGTGTATAAATTGAATTAAATTGATATACAATAGATGTTAGAGCTGCTGTCAATTGTATAAGGATTACCGAATGATTACTGTTAAATACAACATAGCATGGGATTCAGTCCCATGATGTGTCCAACTTTGATCATCCCATCATCCCCAGCGAGGTTTGCTGCTGCTCCAGCCACAAAAACATCGCCAAGCTGGTTATGACATTCACACTTTGCCATGGTATAGATGGCCCATTGAAATGGAGATTTACCTATAAAAAATGGGTGGATTTTCCATGGCGAAGTGTGAATGTCATAACCAGCTTGGGTATGTTTAATTCTAGAACATTGTGGTATATTTACCTACGCGTAAATGTTCGTAAACATTCGGTTAACATATTCCATACATGGATCATTTCGAGGGTAGCACATTGCTCCCCTAAAAACATAGTTATAATACCCATACCTCAATGATTCCTACTAGGTGAGGTTCCCCATTTATGTTTGTTGGTTTATAAATCCATTGTACAACTCTAGTTATATCATGTTATAGTTGGTTTATAAAGCATTATAAACCCATGGGTACTATAGACTATAGTTATACCCCCTATCAACCCTACTTAGCCTACGTTTTCGGCTCCATGTTCCCTCCAAAACTCCTCCGGCCCTCCAAGGGCCCACACGTCTACGGCGATGCCGTGGGCGCCCAGCCTTTTTTGGCCCAGACTGGTGGTAGATATACAACTGGCAAACGATTATTCATGGTAGATAGTTGTATATACTCATGACAATACTGGAAGATATACAACTATAACTATAATTAACTATAATTATATATAACTATGCAATCCTACGGTGGATAGAAGAAATCCTGCACCAGTTCATAGGTGGTTTATCCCATTATTCATAGGAGTTTTAACCATCCAAGCTGGTGGTGCAGGATTTCTCAACCATCCCACTAGGTTGTTTTTTTGCTGGATGGATTTGGAATGATTTGGATGGTAGAGATTTGTAGCTAAAATCAATGGGAATTCACCAAAATGTCACCCCTTTTGGGCTGTACTGGAGGTCTAGATTTAGATCAACAAGATGGGGATCGAAAAATGGATCAAACTACAGGTTGCTAAACGTCAAATGGCGCACGTTTAGCAAAATCTCAGCCATCATGAACATTAGCATGTATTAACTGCCACACTTGGCGGCAACTCCAGTTTTGAGGCAGGAGTTTTTTTGAGCTTCTCCACTCATGCATCTCAACTAGTGCCTGATGTGCAAAACCAACAGCAATGGCCGCTTTTAAACGCTTTCAACATGTGTCACACTTGGGTTCCAAAAGCTTATCAATATTCTTGTTGGTGGTTGAGCTACCCAACCGAAAAACTTAGCAATGCTTAGCAAGTTAGGAACATTTCCCAAAGAGTATTCGAGGAAATGAGCAATCAACAGTTGAGACCACAAGTTCCTGAAACAGGTCCTATTTCGACTGATTGAAAGGGATTCTCAGAATCAATTACACAAATCCCCATCAACGCCATTTGCCAGTTGGTAAAGATTGTAAGACATGGTATTACCATGTATCACATAGTGTAATGTCAACCCTTGAGTAACCTCTGGGCTGCTTAATTGGGGGGTACCATTTCAATAGCATTTCCGGCAAATGGTCACTTTTTGGGGATGATCCTCTGATTAAGCAACCTGAGTTTATGAAGGGGGTTGACATATTAACCACAACATAACAAGAACGAACATTGTATACCCATGTCATGTCAAACATGGTGAAAATCTGTGGGTTGATCATCATATCATCAATGTCCCTTCTAAAATCTTCTAAACTTACCACAAGGCGGAGCGCCCTGGAACGCTAAGTTGGTGTCTGAATCCCAATATACCAACCGGTTACCCTTCGGTAATCAAACGTGGTCCAGCCACGTTTACAATTACCAGAGGGTGTATATCCAATTAATCTTCGAGTAAATCACTCTAAAAGTCTAAGAAATCACCATAAATCACCATAAATCACTAGAAATCACTCTAAAAGTCCATGAAATCACCATAAATCACCATAAATCATTATAAATCACTATAAATCACTCTAAAAGTCCATGAAATCACTATAAATCACCATAAATCACTATAAAAGTCCATGAAATCACTATAAATCACCATAAATCACTATAAATCACTATAAAAAGTCCATGAAATCACTATAAATCACCATAAATCACTCCATGAAATCACTATAAATCACCATAAATCACTAGAAATCACTCTGAAAGTCCATGAAATCACTATAAATCACCATAAATCACTAGAAATCACTATAAAAAGTCCATGAAATCACTATAAATCACTATAAAAAAAAAACCACGATTTTTGCATCCCCATGACGCCATGACCTCGACCCAAAACGTTGTCGCCAGGTGACGTGACTTTGATCTCCTGCATGATGGTGCGTCGGGCCGCTTCGATGCCTAGAACCTGGGCAATGATGGCCAGGAAATCCCCATAAAACATGGCTGGGAGGTTTACAGCTGGGAGAAGTATGGGATATATATATATATATAATATATATATATAATATATATATATATATATATAAGGTATATATGATGGAAAACTATGGGAAAACCCACTCAACAAGGAAGTTATAACATGTTATAACGTTTATAGCTGGGAAAATCATCCATTCATTGTGGACTTTCCATTGTCAGCTGTGATTTTTAACCGGAGTATGGGCCATGGCGAGTCCAAGTCTCAAGAGCTGGAACAGCTGTGTTTCCGAGGGCTGAATCTTCATGCGGCTGTCGGAAAATGGGGGATACTTGCAAAATGGCAAGTTGAATAGGGAACATGATTGCTAACCATACTGGTTGGTGGTTTCAACCCTCTGAAAAATATCGGTCAGTTGGGGTGATTATTCCTAATACAGTATATGGAAAAATAAAAAATGTTCCAAACCACCAACCAGAATAGATTTTATTTCCAGACAAACCAGGTGTCTTTGTGATCTCCCACTCTGATTTTTATCAAACAACTGGAGAAAAACAACTAGGGGTGGGCCTTGCTAATCTGGGGACGAGTCAAACTGTGAGACCCTGAAAACGGCAATTTTTGTATCAATGTGTTGGTCAGTTTTTAGCATGAATCATCCAAACCATTGGGCTACTGGTGTTTCCGCATTTTTCCAATTCTTAGTCAAAAGCATTTTTACATGGTCATGATGATGAAGACGATGAAGATGATGAAGATAAAATTATGTTGATCGTGATCTATCCCATTACATACCACCCAAAATTCCCACTGGATCCCCAGGGATATCATACCACCCAGTTGATTCCCACCGGCTGGATCCCCCCAGGGATATCAGGCCACGCCGATCATCGGAATCCCCGGCCCCCCTTTTTTCCCCCACCTTCTCGACTTCCACCACGTGGTTGGAACTGGTCTTGCTGGGATCTATGCCAGGTGTGCCCATGACCTAGCGGTCGCCGCTCCAACGGAGCATGACCTAGGTGTATTTTGCAGTGTCACGTGCAATTCGTGTAAATACATATATATATATATATACATTGTACACATAAGTATGTGTATGTAACTATGTCTATTTATGTATGTAATGCAATGTAATGTAATGTAATGCAATGTAATGCAATGTAATGCAATGTAATGTAACGTAATGCAATGTAATGTAATGTAATGCAATGGAATGTAATGGTATGGTATGTATGTATCATGTCTACATTTCATGATATTTCATGTACATAAATCATCTCTTCGTACCTCCGTGGATAGCAGGGGTCTAACTCCCCAGGGATTCTGCTCACCAATTAAGGATCGGGCATGAAACAATTTGTCGACCAGCCTTTCAGTAAAGACGGGAAAAATCATTTGGTCAGCATTAAGACCATTAAGGATTGTAATATGTCTATACATTATACCATATACTGTATACTGTATCATAGACAGTTACACATATACAAATCCAAAAACATAAGAACCAAAAAAACCTCTGGTGAGTTAACATAGATGTGGAAAATAAATGAACATGACCCATTTAAATTCGATGATTAGATCGCCTCTCGCAGGCCGTAGCCCTCCACCAGCAGTGAATAGGCCACCTGGCGGAGCAAATGCTGTGGGGTTAAACCATGAGTCATGTGGGTATCCCAATAGCTGGAAAATCCTACTACTAAAATGAATGAGTCAAACTGGGGGTAGCCACATGACTTAGGAAACCTACATATATCATATGGGGTTTTCCAAGAAAAAGATCAAGGGGGAAACAATTAGACATGAAATACAGAGGTAAATGGATTTTTTACCGAAGTGAGACATGTAAACATGACGAGAATCCATTGCCAACTGAGGTTGCGGCCTTCTGTCCCGTCTCCTTCTTGTTCAACACCGCGCGTTTGGTGGAAGGAATTCCCTGGAAGTGGATGGGTGGCGTTTGGGGGTGTCCAACCTTGGACGAGAATTGCCTGCAGCACGATGTGATGTGATGATGTGACATGATGTGCTGTACACACTCGTTCACTTTACATCTTGTGACATGGAAGTGTCTCCGCTGTTCACAGGTGGAGACACATCAAATAGAATTCAGACTTCTTAAATCCTTTAGGATGCCATTTTTGGCAAATAGTTTTTTTTATGATTTATTTATGATTTGAATACGATTTCCATTTATGATTTTTTTATGGGTTCAAATTGTGGTTATGATTTTTTTATGGTTTGGATATGTTTTTTTATGGTTTTGGATATGATTTTTTTATGATTTTTTTATGGTTTTTTTTATGGTTTTTTTAGTCCTCAGAATCCGAGAAGTTTTCGATTTTTTTATGATTTTGCTAGAGTTTCCTTTTCCCCAAAGCCTTTTCAGCAGAAAATTTGATTTTGGAAGCAAAATCGTAAAAAAATCGTAAAAAAAACGTAAATGCATCCAAGGTCCCCAGAATCTGGTTTTCAGCTAAAAACTCGAGAAATTTTCGATTTTTTTTTGATTTTGCTAGAGTTTCTCTAGGAAAATCGTAAAAAAATCGTCAAAAAATCGTAAATGCTTCCAAGGTCCCCAGAATCTAGTTTTCAGCTGAAAACTCGAGAAATTTTCGATTTTTTTACGATTATTTTACGATTTTCGTAGAATTTCCTCTTCCCTGAAGTCTTTTCCACCAGAAAATTTGATTTTTACAGAGAAACTCTAGCAAAATCACCAAAAAAAAAAAAATCTCGAGTTTTTAGCTGAAAACCAGATTCTGGGGACCTTGGATACATTTACGATTTTTTTACGATGTTTTTACGATTTTTTTACGATTTTTTTACGATTTTGCTTCCAAAATCAAATTTTCTGCTGAAAAGGCTTTGGGGAAAAGGAAACTCTAGCAAAATCATAAAAAAATCGAAAATTTATCGAGTTTTTAGCTGAAAACCAGATTCTGGGGACCTTGGATGCATTTACGATTTTTTTACGATTTTTTTACGATTTTGCTTCCAAAATCAAATTTTCTGCTGAAAAGGCTTTGGGGAAAAGGAAATCGAAAATTTCTCGAGTTTTTAGCTGAAAACCAGATTCTGGGGACCTTGGATGCATTTACGATTTTTTTACGATTTTTTTACGATTTTGCTTCCAAAATCAAATTTTCTGCTGAAAAGGCTTTGGGGAAAAGGAAACTCTAGCAAAATCATAAAAAAATCGAAAATTTCTCTAGTTTTTAGCTGAAAACCAGATTCTGAGGACTAAAAAAACCATAAACAAATCATAAAAAATTCATATCCAAAACCATAAAAAAAAACATATCCAAACCATAAAAAAATCATAACCACAATTTGAACCCATAAAAAAATCATAAATGGAAATCGTATTCAAATCATAAATAAATCATAAAAAAAAATCTTTTGAAACCCCTCCTCCTCGAGACTTGAACTCTGAAAATGAAATGGTTGTATCAACCTGGCACTGTGTCCATCCGAAAAATCAGAAACGTCATTTGCCCCCTTTTACTGGTATCATCGTATCATCCCATTCTACTAAGCTGTTATTTTAGGCTTCCCTCTTCATGGGTCATAATATGTCATGATCATCCCTATATAACTAGGCAATAATAGGTAGTATACAACCTCTAAGACTCTACCTGTTGTTATCAAACGGACACTTGCACCTTCACCACCGCGTTGGGCAAGGCCGCTTTCAGGGTCTGCGAGATGCTGGAGCTAGTGTGGGTGGGATACTCCCTTCTGCAATGTATAGAACCTGACAATGGAACATCCACTTGTTAAGATAATGCACGATGATTTACTTATTATCCTATTGAGAACACGAGATAGTTGAGAGACCCTGCCAGTGTCAGCTTAGACAGTCAATGGCCAGTCGGTTCAAGGATGGACTATACCATTAGCATCCTTGGGCATGGGCGTAGACGTCCATCATTCGAGTAGTTAGTTAGAGAAACATCTGTCTAGATCGCTTCAGATGCATTAATTAATTGCCATCAGCTGCGCAATGTTTTGTTTTCATGTGTTCATGTTTTTTCCTGTTCAACCTCTACTGGATGTAACAGCTAGGATCACAAGCGAAACCCAGTGGGACCCAAGCAGTTGAGGACCCTGAAATACTCTGAATGTCACAAGGTCCACAATGTATCACAATGTGGCATCTGGAGTGCTTGGGTTTCAATGAACGTGTTTGTAACACTGAAGGTATCTCTAATTTTCCAACTCATCATACCCGACTCGAGCTTTGGGTCAGGGTGTCCGGGTGTCGTGTGCAGTTTGATGCAAGTTGGATATCGTGTGACGGCATCCGTCACACCCTCTACCCGCCGGTTTGGAAACCAACAGTCATGATTCCCACGCCAGCAGCCCAGGCCGTGAACTATGAGCTACCCTGGCGCCTGCAAAGAAAAATATAGCATCTTGTTGCTGGCGGTCATTTTTGGCGGCTTCACCCGGAGCTTATCCTGTGGCAGAGAACCACCTTATGGCACAACGATATCGAAGTACATCCATCATAACTTATTATAACTTATTATAACTTATTATAACAGCATATAACAACTATGGCAAGCTGTCTTATTATTACACTTAGTGTAGTCGCATCATGGCCCTCCGCGACTTAGTGTCCACCCTGGCCTTGGTCACGATGTCGATATCGTTGTTGCTAAGGCGAATTCCAGCCTGAGAGGATCTGGGAGGATCCGAGAGGTCATGGTTTAACCAGCTACCCTCTGGTAAACTAACAAAAAACTATTGAACATGGCCATTTATAGTGGATTTTCCCATTAAAAATGGTGATTTTCCATAGTTATGTTAGTTTACCAGAGGGTAAATGGCAGCGCATGTTCGGGGAAAGACTAGAGCGTTGCTTTGAAATCAGATCAGATCCTCCAGAGCAGGTCATTTTTTTGTGTTGTTTAAGAATCGCTTTGGCAAATCACAACAATGCCCCGCCTGGAATGGAATAAAGATGAATAAAGCAATATACACCAACATCACAATGGAATTCAATTCCGGTGAAGCAATGACATCATGGTGTGATATGCTCTAGTCTTGTTTTATTGTGGATGAAATGATGAACACCTGGTAGGCAGGTCAATTTCCAAGGCCAAAGACTAGCCAGAGCCAGGAAGTAGCCGTAAACATGGGTAAAGCCAACTTTGCCAACCTTTGCGATAATTTTACTTAATTTCTACAGATAATTTATGATGAATTCATACTAATTTCTAGGGATAATCCATGATACCCTTGATTTTTAGTGATTTGACATAGCTTTGGGAGATGACCCTGTAAGTAGATGATAAACATCCCGGCGGAAGGGAAACCGCGCGTGCGTTTTGATTGGTTGCTTCCAGGAGAGTCACAATCACCTGTAATTTACAATATAAAATGCTCTTCCGATCAGTTTGGATAACTGAATTTGGGTTTAAAAAAGTGGATGCAAAATCTATTGATTTTTAACAAATCCAGGTAAACATCATGTGCATCAGACATGGATGCGCAGATTTTTTTTCACACTCTTCGTCGGCTCAGCGATCCATCAGTGTGGAAGCTGTCTTCGACAGCAAGTTGCCACTATGGCACTCATAACGCCACTGCCAGCAACGCAGGTATAGCATGACATCTTTGTTCTGCCCTGCCTTTGTCTGCAAATTGCTAGGCACAATTTTTTTAGCCAAATTCCACAGAGAGTCAATCTTCCCAGCAGCAGCAAGGATCTTAGCAGCGTAGCAACATGTAACGTAGTAAACAATCCCAGAGATCTTAGCAGCGTAGCAACATGTTACGTAGTAAACGATCCCAGAGATCTCAGCAGCGTAGCAACATGTCACGTAGTAAACGATCCCAAGGATCTGAGCAGCGTAGCAACATGTAACGTAGTAAAAGATCCCAGAGATCTCAGCAGCGTAGCAACATGTCACGTAGTAAACGATCCCAAGGATCTCAGCAGCGTAGCAACATGTCACGTAGTAAACGATGCCAAGGATCTCAGCAGCGTAGCAACCTGTAACGTAGGAAACTATCTCAGAGATACCAGCAGCGTAGCAACATGTAACGTAGTAAAAGATCCCAGAGATCTTAGCAACATCGCAATATATCCTGTACGAAGTTTGAGGAACGTTAACATGCCCCCCCACCCCACCCCATCCCAACCCCAACCCACACTAACATGGCAATATATCCTGTACGAAGTACGAGGAACGTTAACATGCCCCCCCACCCCACCCCACCCCGACCCCAACCCACACTAGAGATCTCAGCAGCGTAGCAACACGTAACGTAGTAAAAGATCCCAGAGATCTTAGCAACATGGCAATATATCATGTACGAAGTACAAGGAACGTTAACATGCCCCCCCCACCCCACCCCAACCCCAAGACAAAGAGCAATACTCAAAAAAGAAGCAAAACGCACGTACGGTTTTCCTGCCGTAGGCATAAACATGATGATTCACCTATTTAAAACACGTGGTTTTCCCATATTTTTCCTAGCTACATTAAATTACGAGAGCCTAATTCATGATAAGTACAGAGTCGTCCAGCCATTTTTTTTCGCTCAGCTGCCAAATTCTTGGTGTCCATCAAGGCAATCTTGATATCCTCGGTTGTTCCCACCCCAGATGCAAGATATGCAAGGAGCAAAACTGGGTACAGTACCCGTAAACTAACATGGCTATTGAAAATGGCCATAGAAATAGTGGATTTACCCATTAATAGCATGGTGATTTTCCATAGTTATGTGTATGTTTACCAGAGGGTAAATCATAGAAGCAAACTGATTCACCTATGGGTAGCAACCCGCAACCCTGGGTGTCGAGTTCGGTGTTTCAGAAGCCAGGCCAACTACTCGAGAATGTTCGAGATTAAAACTTGGCTCGCCGTGGGGGACTGACCCCCTTTTTTCACGGCTAGTTCAATGGGGAAAAACATGGTAAAACAGGGGAGTTGAACCGGGTACATCATCCGTGGATCCTTGGCTCACCACAGTAATGTTTTCAGTTTTCACCCGATGTATCAAGTGGTGCATATAGGATGTTGATCAGTATGCGGCCTGACCTAAACTGCCAGACTTGGTGTGCAACTAGAGCTTCGCGGACCTTGCCCTTGGGCATTTTCCTTGATATCTGATCTTGTTTTTTAACCAGCTGTTGCAAAATGTGGAATGTGTGAGTCTCTGCACCCCTGCCTCAATCTTGAGCTCCAACTGCAAGCGTTCTACGGTCTTCAAATCTACCTCACAAGTCACGGGATTGATCCTATCAACTGAGTTCCGGGCATATCCGCGACTCCGGCCGACAGCAGGGGGAGCGCGCACAGACAGTGGGGACTTGTGTCTTTAAAGCGGCAAAAAAACATAACAAAAATACAAGAATAAGAACAAAAACGGATAGCAACAACAACAGCAGCAGTAGCAGCAGCAGCACCAGCAACAACAACAACAACAACAAGAAGAAGAACAAGAAGAACAAGAACAAGAGAACAAAATCAACAGCCACCAGCAGCAGGCACAACAGAAAACAGCAGCAGGTCCAAAGCAGCAGCCAAAGTTGACCCCGGCACCAGCAGCCAACAGCCAGCACTGCTTTCTTTCCTTTAGGTCTCCAAAAGTTTGCAACTGGATGCTAAAAGGAACAATGTTTTTGCTACGTTGCACCATGCGCATGTCAACCTTGCAATCACCAAAAAAGAGTGTCCCTGTGTTCGGGACGCTGCCTGTTCGGCAGACTAGTCACGGTCTCCTGTCCTGGGTGGCCCTGGAAACTAGAAGTTTAAGCATCTTTCGATCTATCTACCTAATTATCTGTCTATTTGTCTCTCTGTCTCCCTATCTATCTATCTATCTATCTATCTATCTATCTATTTATAGTGTATATATATATATTCATACTGTATATATATATATTTATACTGTATATATATTTATACTGTATATATATATATTATACATATTATATATATATATATATTAATTGTACAACTACATACTATATAATTACACATATTTGTAGTTCCAGGACCTATGTCCTGGCATATCGCAACGCCACTCTTGGCATACTTTCCTTTCTTTCCGGGGTCAGGGCGGCAGCCCTGCAATAAATATATATATATATATACATATATATATATATAAGAATGTCTAACATATACCCTCCCGTAAACATGGCAATGGGAAAGCACAATCTTACCCTGGATGCCTCAAACTAAGACTCTCAAATGGGGATTTTCCATAGGATTTTCCATTCACGGGACCATCGATGCTTGAGATTCACCCATTTCGTGGTGGTTCTTGGCTGGCGTGATTCAAAAGGCCCTTGATTTCATGATCGGTGCGAACACTGTTCACAAACTACATCATGGAATCATCAATATTGGTAACATATTCCATCAATTGACAGAATATTGGAACATATTGATAACATATTATAACATATTCATACATATTCATACATATTCCATAAATTGACAGGATGATTGTTGATGATTGAGACGCAAAAACCGCTTCCTGCTTCTTGGTCCAACTAAAAAAAACAGCCAGCCACCAGCCACGCTGGCGCCCACCTTGACACTGATGAAACATCCATATGCGGGGTCATAGACCTCCTTGAAGTAGCGGCCTGGGCGCCCAGAGCTTCGAAAACTCACCGTTTCGTTCAGAGAATCTGGGAACGAAACCCAGATTAGAGAGGTAAAAGGTCTTAATGGTCTTAGTTGAAGGGGGTAAATCCAACAGAGAAATTTTAGAAAGGTTGTTTAGTCCTGTCAACGGTTCAGCTCCCCCAGCCGGACATTGGGCTGAGCGGACTGACAGTTTGCCCAACAACAACAGGATTTTTTTTGACCAATCAGTGTGGAGACGCAACCAACAAAATGATAGGGATGATATGGGGTTGCCAAAAAACATACCGAAATACCCCAAACCTGCAAGTTTCATGCTTAAAAATGGATACACAAATTGATTGCAATTGGGGGTACCCCATTTTCAGACAAGCCAAGCTGGACTCTGGAGTCGAGGTTCTTCAAGCCGGCGTGTGACTCACGCTGTGAAATTGCAGTGTGATGATTTTCCTAATCCCACAATGTTGTGGTTCAAATGTTCATTGTTATTGGTCAATATCTATGCAAATGTTGGTTTCCCAATAAGTACACTAACATGTTCCAAACCCAGAAATTTCCATTCCAAGTTGTCAGCAATTTCTGAAATTGGTTCTGTAGCGAAGTTTTCCATGTCGGCCCATCTCCATTGGTTGCACCCTCACCAAAACCAGCGTCAGGTTTTTACCCTCCGATGGTAAGTTACATTGGTATGAATGGGTCCTGCTTTAAATCATCCCGGTTCATGACTGAATCTTCACCAATTAACCACTTCCCCCAAATAACGAGGCTGTACCCTCTATGGGAAAGCCAAAAAGGGGGGAATCACATATTAGGGGAACGCGATTTGAAGTGCCGGTCCTTGCTTTGATCCAGCGCCAGTGGGGGTCGTTTCAAGACCCTTTAGAGACCATCCGAAATACAGAGATGCGTTGAAAGATTTAACATGGTTTAACATGGTTTAACAACACAATTCAATCCTTCAAGTTGGGCTCGTTTTTTTTGCTTATCTTGGTTTTCCCAATGATTTACCGTAACCGTCATCTGCAACATTTTCTGCGGCGCCATGGCACAGACGTCTCCCAGGTTGGTCCGCTCAATGCGGCCCTTGACGATGCGCGCAGCCACCTCTTACAGTAGGGGATGTGGAATCTATATGGATACGGTACATGGATACTTTGCTACCCTCAATTCACCCATGAGTTAACTTGCTCATTTCCCAATGTGAGACTTTACCTATGAAATGATGGGTCAGTTGTGATTTTCATAGGTCAAGGTAGTGCAAACGGCCCCTCCATGCGTGGCTCGTATCCATGGGTTTCCCTCTACCAGGCCCTTGGATGTGACGATGGTGGTGAAACTGACGCACAGAAGCATGGTTCATCCATACCGTATTCCATTTAATCATAGCGGATGTGATAGTGTCCCATAAAGTCCCATAGTTCACCTTCTTACATGGGATATTCCCAGTGATATATGTATATAATATATATACAATATATACACATATGCTTGATGCAATAGATAGAATGATATATTGATGTGCATACATAATCAAATCACTGTGTAGAAATAAATACACATATGTACATACAGAAAATATAGATATATTAGATATCTATGATAATTTCGTTAAACATGATCATACACTACAGTTTTTCTACAACATATACCCTCTGGTAAATAAACATAGACCCTGAAATTCACCAATTTTTAATGGAAACTAGTCTTCCAACCCCTATCTGCCAGGGTCTATGTTAATTTACCAGAGGGTAATTTAGAAAATTTAGACATAGCTTCTCCGCTTCTCCAAAAGCCTTTCTCCAGGCCTCGTTGTATTCGTCCTGCAAGGTGCAAGTGATGATGGGCGTTGAGATGCCCTTGGCCGCGTTGATGATCTCCTGGTGACTGAGGCACACTCCCAAGATCCCAAGGCTAAGGCGAAGCAAAACTAAATTAGCATTAATATGGGTAATAATTTCACTAACCATGGTTAATATATGGTTAAGTTAATAATACTATTAATGGTATTATGGTTATTAATAATGGTTACTATTAATATATCTGGGTAAATTATAATATTTCACTAACCTGAATTGTTGGGCCATTTGGAAATGATTTCCCGTATAAAAACCATGATTCCAGTGAGGGAGACCAGTGAGGTCGTTATAATTTACCCAGATAAGATGTACTGATTACAATAATTTTGTCGGTTACCCATATGTATCAGTCTATTACATAATACATGTATACATATGCATATGCATATGCATATGCATATACCGTATACCATATACCATATACCAGATACAATCCATATACCATATACATATACATATACATATATGTATATACATCCGCGTCTTTGTATACGTTTCAGTATATATATAATGCCCGTATAGATATTATGCAATTGTGTGTGTCTTGATGGAGTCTGAATTACAGTAATACTTACGGACGCATCAAAAAGCATCTAAGCAAGTTTTTTTTGTCGCTGATGGGTAGAACAAATATGTTAGGCAGCTAGCTATGAACACATAATTATGGGGATGATTGATGGAAAATATATGGAAAATAATGGACAATAACTACAGCAGTTGCTGTACCATTAATATACACGTTTTGTGGATAATAAAAAGGGGAACCATCCTCCCAAAATAAGATCATTCATATACTAGAAAAGGGGTCATATCGGTCCATGATTCCAATGTGGGACTGCTGAATCCTGCTGAAGTGACCCGCTCATCTCCTTGATTCGCGGAACTCCCAAGGTCACATTCATGCTGGCCTGAAAAGACACTTCAGACAGTTCAGACAGTTCAACTGGGAAGAAGTTTGTCATGGCAATGAGGTGGTTTCACCATCCGATCATGGACATGTCAGAACTAGGTCCGTGTGTTGTCCTGCCATCCATTCTTTAATTCGAGGTTCAAATACAGAAGACTCAGAAAACTATAACATACTACACTGTACAGATTACTATAGCTATAACTTTTTTCTGAGCGCCCAAGATTCCCCGTAGAGTTTACAATGATGTAAAAACAACTCCTGCCCGAATCTGCTGGGCTGGTCCCCCTCCACCATGGACCCATGCGAAAAATATCTGTAGTCCAAAAATGGTGATCCACAAATCCCACACATCTCCGATACCAAGAAACCTCCAGGAACACAGAGTCACCAAACCATGAAGAAATGCTTTTTTGAGAAACCCCTCAAAAAGAGAGATCTCATCTTCCAGGGATCATAGTTTGGCGGTTTAGGGTGGCAGAACTAGTTTCTGTGTCTGAAAATAGGCTTCCCCCAAAAAAACATGTTGATTTCTTCCTCGTTCAGATTGCAATTTTTCGGAGCATCTTGTTTTCTTGCCGATTTCTGTACCAACCAACATTACTTCGTCACATAGCCCCAGATCCAGATCCAGGGCAACCCTACCACACCAGCAAAGTGGAAGGTCTTCAGCGTCATTTGAGTGGCCGGTTCACCAATGGATTGCGCCTCGGCACACCGGAACATCCGAATGGCGAAGATGTGGAAAGATCTGGGGATGAATATTGGACAATCCCTTCATATCCCTTCTATATATTTGAGGAACACCTCCAAAATACTGGATGAATCTACGAATCATCTAATATGTAGATTATTTGAGGAAAACCGCCAAAATATGCCACAATACTGATTCGTAGGAGTTTCCAGTTCATGGATTCAGTATGGATTATGAAAATCTCTAACATAAGAGTAGTATAATCCCCAATCATCAACCTTTTTGTTTTGAAACCGCAACATGAACTATCCTCGGATGCTAAGAAGGTTGATGAAACTGGCAAGCCTGCTTCGGAGCTATTCTCACCAGTGCTCTCCAATTGAAGAATGATGCTCCGCAAGTGTCCCCTACCAATAGACAAGGAGAACATCTCATCACCATTCTCAGGAAGCAACAGAAAACAGTGGCGGCTAATTCTGAGAAATCACAGATGAATGCCGTCTCTGGTGTTGCTCAGTGGCGAAATATGTTCTGACCCATACGAGTGTGTCAAAATGGGCTACATCAAAATCATTCAATCCTTGAACTCCCCACATGGATAATTTTGGCCCAGCTTTGGGGGCTCTCAATTGGTTTTTGAGATACCCACATATCTATACCTCCTCCACATAACCATCATATGCATACAGCATAAAGGCTGGGATATCGTATATTATGGTATCCCCATCAACTTATCTGGAAAATTATAATAACTCACTAATCTAAACTGATCGGCTGTTTGGGGATAGGTAGCCCTGAAAAAAAATCCATCATGCCAGCGAGGTCATAGTGAGGTCGTTACAACTTATCCAGGAATATGATGCTCTAACAATGGATGGTGAAATATGGTGAATATATGGAAAATGAACTAAATCTCTGGTGCCCAGAGTTTGGAACATGTGCATCCATCCCCATCATGATAATGCAGAAAACCATCTCCTATTGAGTCCTATTGAAACCCCACAGAAAATCATCATGCTCTTACAGCTACATCAAATATCATCAAATCGGCAAGGATATTTTCCACCATCGACGACACAAAACCCTTGCATCGATGATTTTCATTGTTTCTATTGATCCCAAGTATTGTTATTTGATCTAAATGCTTATTGATAAATTCCATGGTGAATCGATTCATTTTTGCTGAATCAATGCTCAAATCATCGAAAAATCCATTCATGTCATGGTGCAATCATATAAATCCATCATGCAATTCCATTTTATGATTTTGGTTTTTCTTGAATCAGCTGAAAATTTCTATCTCAATGGATTGGTTTAAGGGAAAATTTACAGGAAAACCCCATATTTCATGGGAAAATCTACGGTTTCCTGTAGATTTTCCCTTAAACCAATCCATTGACTATCTTAACTCCACATTTCTGAGCTCCGCACGGCCACAGCGCCGACCGCCTCTCCAGGCATCAACAAGGCCTGCTCGAGGCACCGCTTCATTTAGACAATGATATTACATAGGTAGTCGAATATGATATGATATGATATATTTAGATAATGATATGATATAATATGATATGATATAATATGATATGATATGATATGATATATTTTTAGATAATGATCTGGTGGTATATATAAAATCATAGCCTCAATATGTCTTAATGATATTCTTCTAGTCTCAATGATAATTCTGATATATGTTTTGATTGATATTTCTAATGACAATTTCAATGATATATATTTTTTGATAATCTTTCTGAAATGATAGATCATGACAGAACTTGTGATGAAAGTTATCCTGACATATCTATTTGATGTTTGTTTTTGTTTGTTTACACATATTTTAAGACCTTGCTACCGATAACATTTCCCCATTCCTCTAACACCGAAACAAAGAAGTTGGCCATTGGCCAAGCATCAATAAGATAGCAAATAATGTCCCAGGTCGTGCCAAGGTCAGCGGTCAGCTTCCGCGGCTTCGACTGGTCCCGGCTTGATCCCCACTCGCCCCACTCCCCCGGCCACCTGGACATATTTCACCGCACAAGTGTTTAAGAATGCATCCAGTTGCTGCAGCGTTGGACAAGGCCTGGAACTTGATAGGACCCATTGGTGGGGATCCTACGGTCCGCACCCAGAAGTCCCAAGGTTTGTTAAAAACTAAAGTCTGAATTTGCGAGGAATCTGTTTCTGCAACACATCTTCAGTGATCCACTTCTGGCCAATTTTGTCCGGTTGTCGCCAGCCCAAGATTTTGTGCAACAATTCCACTGGCAGCCCACCAGCCCGCGTGCACGTGCCATTGTTCCAAGGCGCCCCAAATCCATCAAGGAGAGGGAATCTTCCAGCCTCACAGAGGCCACACGGGTCACATGCTTTTCAGAACATGTCTGGGTGGCCCATATTTGGCTTTCAAACAATCCAAGCTGCGAGAACTACATTCATCTTTAGCCTCAAGTCTGTGATGTTGCTTTTAGCTTCTCTTCATCTTCAGTTTTAGTTTCGAAGATTTTTCAGAGTCTCCAGGTTCCACAAATCCGAAAACAACTCCAGCCTCTTTCCCGCCCCCCTGATGCCTCCATTTGGCACGAGCCTTCTTAGCAGACGCCTACAGCTGGGAGTGCTGTGGCTCCACTACTGAAAGGAGACAGGTGGTTGACCTACCCCTCTGAAAAATGATGGACTTCGTCAGTTGGGATGATGACATTCCCAACATATGGAAAAATAAAAAATCTTCCAAACCACCAAAAATCTTAGTCCCTCTGAAACATGTTCGTCTTAAGTTGGAGGTCACCACACAATCATCCCGACAAAGAACTGAGGAAACTAATCCTGCGAAACACATCAAGCATAGCCAAGCAGGTGGATAATGCAACATAGCCATATTGGCCCAAACAGAGCCTGAAAGCTTGAACCAGTCTCCACGGCTGCCCTGCCTAAGGGCCTAACAAGAAAAGGGAACAAGAGGGAACCACTAACCACGAAAAGGTAGCCCTCCAACAAATCAGGCCTTATCATACTACCAGGTTACCAGACTGATCTAAAAAAAACCTAGGGCCCATGGCTGCCATGGCCCATAACCATCCATAACCAGCGATCCATCCAAGCTCCTCAGTGTCACCCACTTCCAAACTCAAGATCTGCCGTTTTTCGGCCACCTGCACAGGCGCACAGGTCCAGACGGTCCAGAGCGCCATGGTTTTTTGAAAACATCCACCAGACGGCCACCAAACCATCCCATTTTTGGATACCTTTGGTGGGTTATAATATGTTATAACCCACTCATCCGCTACACTCTATCAACTAATCAGCTTCAACACAGAATCCACCGAAGATTCTGCCATAGAGTCTGCCGCAACCTTTGGCAGAACGTGTTTCGAGGCCAGGTTTGTGCACAATTTATGAGCGTTGATTCAGAATGGCCATGAACAAATGGGGGGCACTTCATGTTTTACCCCACCGATGCCACCAAAAAATCTCAAATGGTCCGCTGAAAGCACTGGTTTGGACTGGATTTGTTCTCTTAGGGGGACCTCTTATGGATATGTATCATTAGAAGGAAAGGATTTATTTTCACTCACCAACCAGAAACTAGTGGGATCCATTGGGAAATAGATGAAAAATGATGAAAATCCACTCGGGCCATGGCCTGCCCCGCCAAGCTCTGGATGAAGTTGCGCACGTCGCTCTTCACGTGCCTTGGACAATCAGCTGGATGTAACCCCTTCTATCCAGTGGATCCCCTGGGTTGATTTTTTTCTGCAGCTAGGACAAAAAAACCGAACAAAGAACAAGACATAAAAACATCAAACAACTCAACTGCTTGGTGGTTTCAATCCTGAAACATACTACATACATCTACATACAGTAGCCATGTTGGATCATATTGTATGACACTAGTTCCAAGTGGCCACAATACCAAGAGTTGTGCAGTGCAGTTTGAATAGTGTTTAAATCATGTTGAATCCCCTTTTCATACAAGCTGGTTCAGCCAAACAGATCATCATCGGTTCCATAGCCATTACCCTCTGGTAAACTAACAGTTTGCTATTGAAAAATGCCATGGAAATAGTTGATTTTCCCATTAAACATCGGGGAGTTCCCATTAAACATGGCGATTTCCCAGTAAAAATGGTGATTTCTTATTAACAATTGTGATTTTCCCATTAAAAATTGCGATTTCCCATTAAAAATGGTGATTTCTTATTAACAATTGTGATTTTCCCATTAAAAATGGTGATTTCCCATTAAAAATGGTAATTTCTTATTAACAATTGTGATTTTCCCATTAAAAATGGCGATTTCCCATTAAACATGATGATTTCTTATTAACAATTGTGATTTTCCCATTCAACATGGTGATTTCCCATTAAAAATGGTGATTTCTTATTAACAATTGTGATTTTCCCATTAAAAATGGTGATTTTCCCATGAAAAATGGTGATTTTCCCATTACAAATGATGATTTTCCCATTAAAAATGATGATTTTCCCATTAAACATGGTGATTTTCCCAATAAACATGGTGATTTTCCCATTAAACATGGTGATTTTCCCAGTAAAAATGGTGATTTCTTATTAACAATTGTGATTTTCCCATTAAAAATGGTGATTTTCCCATTAAAAATTGTGATTTTCCCATTAAACATGGTGATTTTCCAATTAAAAATGGTGATTTTCCCATTAAAAATTGTGATTTTCCCATTAAACATGGTGATTTTCCAATTAAAAATGGTGATTTTCCCATTAAACATGGTGATTTCCCATTAAAAATGATGATTTTCCCATTAAACATGGTGATTTTCCCAGTAAAAATTGTGATTTCCTAGTTTCGCATCACCGGCAAATCATCGCTACTCCAAGTGGCTCAAGTTCCAGATCTGTGGCGCCCTGAGTCCTGGTCACAAATTCCTGGCGGAATGCTGGGAAAAAGCATGGAATTCTTTGAATGATGATGGGAAAATATGGGAAAATATGGGAAAATATGGAAACTGGTTGGTGGTTCTAACCATCTTGAAAAATATGAAAGTCAATGGGAAGGATTATCCCATATATTATGGAAAATAAAAAATGTTCCAAACCACCAACCAGGAAAAAAATCCGGAAGTATGGTATTCTTCCGGAAGACTATTTTAAGGAGGATTCATATTTTTTTAAATTTTGAAGCTGGATGATGTATGATGATGTGATATGGAATGATGGTCCATTTTTGTTCATGAGTTTGCAACATGTGGATGTTTTCTATAAACAAAACCTCGATGATGTTGTACGATTCAGGGGCTGAATCTGCATGGAACAAGACCTGGTCTGTTTCCTATGTCAAGAAAAATCAACCGATCATAAATTATACATTATAAAAAAATACAATCAAGTAAAGGTGATTTGTCATCCTACCTCAATCCGTGCTAAGAATTCCCAAATCATAATCTATCTTTCTTACTGGTACCTAGGTGCCAGGTTCCGGTTTCTACGTGATCCCATCGTACGTCTGATTGTCTGGGCGGACAACGGTTGCACCCCAACCCCCACCCCCCACCACCAACAAAAAATCGTGCCATCTAATTGCTGTAGAGAATCAAAACATCCCCCTTGCAATTCAGTGTGAAGGTCGCACCCCCTGATTCTGTAAGTACAAAGCTGGGGCCTGACCCTCAGACAGGGATACCCATCATTACAAAATCAAAGGTACCAGACCTTTCCAAGCATGGTTATCATTACAAAATCAAGACTGAACATGTATTTTTACAGAGCAGTTAACCCCCTAATTCAAGGCAAAAATTTAAAATCATACCACAATCATAAAAATTAGTACCAAAAACACCCTTTGATTTTGTAAGGGGACTGATTTTATAAGGATTCAGGTCTGGTCCCTTGATTTTGTAACATGATCTTTCCCCCTATACCCCCAGGGCTTGATTTCACAATGTGCCATGATTTTATAAGGTTTTTAGAGTAATCTTGTCAAAACGGCGAGTATCAAAACCCATGTTGTGGATATGGAACATTTATTCAAAATATTTCAAAATTACTCAAATATAATACAACATAAAATCACCTTATAAAATCAAACCTTACCATGGAAACAAATTAGAAACATATGGATACTTACAAAATCAACCCCAAAGTTGTGTAAAATTGGCTCAAAAATCTCTCCAATTTTTGTAAAAATGGGACCATTTTGGCACCCCCCCCAGGGGGTCTGGTACCCTTACAAAATCAAGACCATCCATCTTGCCATATGTCCACCTATCTTCCATAATGATGTTATACCCTTCATCCTTAGGGGTTAGGATATGATTTTGTAAGGTGGGTTCCTTACAAAATCAAAGGTTAAAAACCCTATGTACTGGGGTCCGACCCCCATGATATTGTAAGGGAAATTGCAATGGGGATATCAAAACCATGAGGGAGAAACAACGTGTTTACATTTAAGACCCCAATTCGTGCTCTCAGAAAGCTATTTCCTTGAACATTGAATGCCTGGCAGATAGATCAGATAGTGAGACACCTGTGGTTTCTTTTGAATATGTGTACAGCATCGTGAGAAAATCTAGGCCCCAACCATTCAGAAGTACATGTGCCCCGTGTGGTTTCCAAAACAAAGTATATGAACTATTCAAGGGCGTTCCATATTCTAAATTCTAAACCATGTCGCCATTTCCACATACTAAGTCTTTCGTTGACTGATATAAATTGCATGATTCATTTTCCAGCCTGACCCTACTTTGGGAGGTTGAGCGCAATGTCCTCCCCACATCCCAGCATATCCAACACAAGCAAGCGTCAGAGCAAAAAAAAACAAGAATTAATGATTAATTGTTTAATTACCGAAAGAACCTCCCCCCAAAAAAGGCTGGAGCTAAGAATTATTTCATGTTAAACAATTTTGGTTCCCTCGGTCTTTAATGTCGCAGGGGCGCACCACGAAGCGTTCTGCACAGGGTCGAGCCAACTGGTTGAGCTCATGGGGAAGGAGAGGCCACAACTTGTACCTGGGGCTAGGGATGAATTTCTGGTTGCTGGTCTTAACGCCCGTTTCAACGGCAGAGCCAAACCCTCAAAAATATGATCATATAATAGATTCATATAGTCATTGGGGATGACTATCCCATATGGCTGAGAATTAAACATACATGTTTGAAACCAGCAACCAGATCGAACAGTTAGGCCATAAACCCGTCAATTCATGGAGAAATGAAAACTTGCACGAAACAAACATGTCCAGGAGATTCCAGGAGAAAGGACTAACAAGTTTATAATTTGATACGGGTATGTCACTGTATAGCAACGCACGGGGTTTCAACCCCCAAAAACGGATATGCACAAGTTGGGCCCTTTTGGTGGCAGCCCTGGCGCAAGCTCGGCCTAACCCGGGCCAAGTTTGTGGACTCAATGCGGCACGATTCGGCACGCTCACAACTTGCATTTTTTAAATTTTACCGCCGTTTCCAACGTTTTTTCGCTTTGCTGGGGTTCGTGCCAAGCCATGTTCCCCACATTGGGCCTGTCTTGGGCCCAACTTCGGCGCCAGATGCTCCACACGGCAGGAGACTCACATACACCCGACAGAATCGCATCACTTACGCCACCCGCATCACTGCACCACCAGGCATCACTTACAACCAACAAATTCGCATCACTTACACCACCACTCCTGTTTTAGGGTTTGCTTCACACAGGAAGCCCCTTTAGGGTTTCTTTGCTTCACACAGGAAGTACACTGGTACAACCCCTTTAGGGTTTCTTTGCTTCGCACAGGAAGTGCACTTCACGATGTGCGCACTGAGCATAAAAGTGGTTTGTCAAGTTTGTTTGACAAAAGGTTTGAAACAAACCTAAGCAAAGTTGGTACTGGGAACAAATAGATGCCAACTAAATCGCTTGCTTACGCATACGCAAAGCTACACCAAACACGGGCATACACACAGAGCACAAGGCCGCGAGAAAGGTGGCAGGCAAAGGAGTGGAGGGTCAAACGAAGTAACAGAAGGACAGCAGAGCAAAACAGAGAAGGAGCAAGACACAGCAGGAATTTTACAAGCAGCAAGAGCTGCTTTGTCAACCTAATTGTAAAACCTTATGAATCTTCAGTTCAGAACAGGCATGTTTCGGTTATTGATGTCAATGATGTTGATGATGAAGAAGGAAAAACGTGAAAGTGATGATGATGATGATGATGGTGATGATGATGGTGATGATGATGAACAAGGAAACAACGTGAAAGTGATTGTGATTATGTTGATGATGATGCTGCTGCTGATGATGATGACCATGATTCCATGATGGCAGTGTAAGCGATGCAAATCGCGCGGTTGGAAGCGATGCAAATTTGGCGGTTGCAAGCGATACCGCGACCACCACACCACCACAGAACCACGTTGCGCATGTTACAGTAAGCCCAACTTGCGTCCAAACGTGCCCAAGTTGCGCCATGTTCAACCCCAGTTGGGCTCAAGTTGGGCCCAAGTTGGTGCCAACTGCCCCGAGTTCGGCGCAAGTCAAGTTTTGACCCCAGTCGGCTTTGGTTGGGCCAAGTAGGCCCGCTTCTTCCCTCTGTCCTATTCCCTGGGTGGGGGCGGTACTCGTTGCGAAGCGACTCGAATCCTTTTCGCATACAAAAACGAAAAATAGACACTTGTCACAGAACACCCCGCACCTGTGGACAATCTATCCAAGCACTACTCTACTTGTGGGCATATTCATGGCATCTGTCTGCTAACATCCGGACATGCAACAGGATGAAGGGCTCTGGGCAGCAAAGGTGGAAGACCAACCAACAAATGGGAGCATCAAGCAGCAGCAATTGGGGATACTAACCCAATCATCTGCCGATGGTGCTGCAGGGGCACTGTTCACTCTGCGCTTGCTGAACACTCCTGCGAGAGAGTTGGAACGTGTCACTTTGATGAATCTTGGAAGAAAATGGACGGATGGCATCACTCTTTGGATCGACTGATTCACAAACCCGTGCGTTGTTGCCCACAAAAGAAAGGGGGTTCCTGCGACACGTCTGGCTTCGTGGCACTTTCAAAATGACCAGCCAGGTTTCATTCATCAGGAATGCCACAAGCTTTGGACGTCCAAGAAAATCATGTGGATGCAACCGCAAGCAGCCCTGAATCCTCTTGATATTTAAGTAATGATTGGTGGAATCTATAGGGACCACTAATGGTGAGACTCCCATTCCCATACTACTCCCATGAAAAACCCCAATGGTATGGGAAGATTGTGGGAATGGGGATCTCATTATTGCGGGTCCATATGAAATGGGGGTACCCCTAAATCATCAATTTTAAGGAGTTTCCATTATTTTTGGGGTATCCCCATTTCTGGAAACTCCCATATAAATTCTATGGAATGGATGGCACCACCAACAAGCCATCTATCATCGATGAATGGCTCTGTTTGCAGGATTGGCAGCCAAATATGGCTTTCACTGAACATGGTTAGTACTGTACCGCATATACCTCCAAACTGGCTTTTCAAGGGGAAATATGATGATACTGTGATGATATATGATGATAGACAATGGGATTTGGGATTGCCCATTTTCAAACAATAAACATATCATTGTCATGATACTGATACATCGTGGCGACTGTCTCTTATAACTTTCATCTCAATCCCGTGAATGCTTTTCACCATGAATGTGAAGAGATAGTAATTTGGTAAGAAATTGTGGTACTAATGTATGATGTGTATATAGAAGATTATTATCATTGTTTCTTACCCAATGCACCGTCACTGCTATCATAAGTTGTCACTCTCAATACTATATACTACTGTTATCATGATTACTGTCATTGTCATGCATTATCATTACATATCGGTTTGTCTCAAAAAAAGATAAACAAGGATACTGCAAAATTGGATTTAAGAGTTGTTCCCCTAAAGTTTCAGATAAAGCCTCATCTCTGCAGAGAAAAATTGCCCGGGCTCCTCTGAATTGGCTCTGCCACACGCCCCTTTTGCTCCATGGCAGGTAGATCTCCAGGAGCTTTCGCCACCTTGGAATCTGACGAGCCAAAAAGGGGATCATAACAAATTACAACCAAAAACATGAATTTGACCAGCGAAAACCAGGTTTTTTTGATTAACATTCGATTTCAAACAAGAAGATATTGGATGTTGACTGATGTTGACTGGCAATGAATGGTTGAAGTATGTTGAAGCATAAACCTATATAATTAAGAAAGCACGGATCCTTCAATGAGGCATGTCCCTAGAGGTTTCATAATCAAATTTCATTGGAGATTATGAGGTCCTGTTCACAAGCTGTCGGGGGCCATCGTTGATCCTGCGCTGGTAGGTGGATGGGTGGTGATATCTACGTGGAATACTACTAGCTCCATTCCAGGGCAACCTAACGCAAACGCAAAGTAGAATCTCGGGTATATTCAAACAATGTAGACAAGCATGACGTAGATTTGATTGCTGTACTAATACTGATACTTATATAGTTAATGTAGTAATATAGCTCAAGGATATATGGACATTCCATACAGCCTGCTACCCATTTTATGATGAGCCCATGCTACTTCCTGATATCAATAAACATTCATAATCCTAATCAACTCAAGACTTCCCCCACTTGTTATGGCTAGGTCCCAGTACACGCTTAAAAACAAACGCACCAGCATAAAAACCAGCATATCTGACACAAATCATTATTGGAACTGGGCATGTCCAATCATTACCCCAGTGTAATGTCAACCCCGGATTAATAAACCATGGTTTATTAATTAGAAAATAACCTCCAAACAGTCACAATATGGTACATAAATGGTACCCTCCCAATTAAACAGCCGTTTGGGGTTTATTAATCCAGGGTTGACCATTGGAACCCCCTGGGTCGATCGGTATAAACCCTCCCTCGCCCACCTGCACTTTCTTGCTGCGACGTGCTCGATGCGGAGGCCGCAAAACGTGCACCACCTCGGAGAAGATCTAAGTCTATGGGGGTGTCCTAAGTCATGGGGGTACCCCAATGGTTTAGGATGGTTTATGATGGTTTATTTCATGGAAAATCCTATTAAAGTGGATGCTTGACATCACTCCATTAATTACTTTAGAAAGTGGGAATGTAGGCACTCCAAGTAGACATAAGTAGACCATGTACAGCATGTGGATAGATTAGCATTGGGTGGGAGATGGATTGTGGGTGCACTTACACTTCTCTTCTTAGTCAGCCTACCAGGGACAGAAAGAGGTGAAACCTTGGGTCAAGTAGATCAACTCATGAACCTGAAAAGTTCCCCCAGTTTGGACCCCATCTGTAAACCATTTTGTAAACCATCATTCCAGTGATGTCGCGAAATGAGGTCGTGAAATAAGTTCCAATAATGATCTGTTCGCCAGGTCGGCTAGCGCTGAGTTTGGGGCATAGTTCAGCACGTACCTGGAGGTGCAGTGATGAACAGAGTGGTTTCACCATCAAACATACCCTCCGGTAAACGTTTACATAGCTATGGAAAATCACTATTTTTCATTGGATATGTGGTAAATCCACTATATAAATGGCCATTTTCAATAGCAAACTGTAACTGTTTACCAGAGGGTATCTCCAACATTCTCCAACCTACCCGGTCAACAAAATTCACCAAGATGGAGCACTCAAAGTCCAAGGGTTTGGAGGCCGAGCCCTCCATCTTCGCAGGATTCAAGCCATCCTGGGGGATCAAAGATCCGATCTTTGAGCATCCCAAAAAAAAGCCAAGACCGAAGATCACCGAAGAGGTGAACCAATGCTCCAAATCATTGAGATTACACGCTTAAAAGATCAAAAACGATAGGGAAACTGCAAACATCGCGGTGCAAACCCACAGTTAGATGACTATCCTGGCATTTTATTGGCGACCCCAGGTCCAACTCAGCTCAGTGGCATCACCAAAGGCGAATTGCACCACATCGCCTCGACGGTGCTTCGTGTTTTGTTCTACATTTTTGTCATTTTTCGCCTCCTAAAGCCTCCCAACTAATGAGGTAACAGCCAAATAGGAAGGAAAACAACTGACCATAGCATGGCCTGGAGATGTTTTTTGAGTCGGATCTGGAGAGAAGCAACTGACCATAGCATGGCCTATCTTCAAGAGTGGCCAAGGCACTATTTGACGTACGAACGGTCATGTCCTTGGGATGCCGGAAGTTAAAATATTCAAACCACGGATGCCAAGATATACCAAGCCCCAAATCATCGCACAATTCAACCAGCCAAACAAAGCTTCCGAAGAATCTGTATATGTCTGCAAACCAGCTCCAGCAGGCATTTTGAAGTTAATATCCTGGTTTTCAAATCAGCTAGATTGGCTGGATGTCAGTTCCCCAAATATTTCCAAATACATATATATATATAATATTCTAGATTGCTCTAGGGTTTGACCCATCCCCATGTCATTTCTAGTTCTGCTTGTGCAAATCTCCAGGTTTCAGCAAAGTCTCTTTTGACCCATCCCTGTACAATGTAATATAAAATTACATGAATCAACATCTTGGGAAAAGATACATTATGAACTCCCCAAGTAGAAAGTCTGTACATATAAATATATATATATATATATGTATGTATATACATAATATATATATATATATATATATGTATGATATATATATATATGTATAATATATATATATGTAATAATTATTAAACCAACATTATATACTGTATAATGCTGTATACTTATATAACCATGTTATGTATAATGCTGTATACATATATTCTATAATGATATATTATGATATATTATAATTATATACGGTACACTCTATAATGCTGCATAATGCTGTATACTATATACTGTATAATGCTGTAAAATGATATACTGCAATATTCTACATACATGAATACATGTCATGTTGTATACAGAAAGCACGCATTTCATAATGTCCAGGTGTCGTACTTCAAGGACAAGTCTTCCAGGGCCTTCATCAGGCGTCGTTGCATGTAGCCTGTCTCCGCCGTCTTCACGGCGGTGTCTACCAGACCTTCGCGTCCTGGGATGGGGGATGGGATGAGACCCCAAAACGAAGAGCAAAAAAAAACAAGGGAAAAAAAGGGAAGCATATGATTGATAAAGCAAAGGATTTACGCATATATATATATATACGGATATCCTATTTTCAGACAAACCTAAGTGAATTGTCGCACCAAAGTGAGGGATTTTTATGATTCTATTGTGATTTCACTTCATCAAATTTGTGGATTTGAGAAGGATTTAACACGATTTTACTTCATTAACATGGTGGATTCGAACATCATGGGAATGAGATGGAATGAGCATTGGACTAGAGATTTTAACATCAAAACACAAGGAACCAATGAGAATGACATTCAGAGGCTTCAGAGGCTTGATTTAAGGGAGAATAGGACACCATAGTTTTCTTAGATATTCAAAACAATAATAGGCTAGGGGAAGTCCTTCAGATTGTCCCTTTATCAAATTCTATGATTTAGGCCAAATAGCCAATTGATCTCAGTTGTGCGGGACATATTTACCAACATACTAGTATTGCGTATGCAACCCATGACTGTGATTTGGCATTTAAAGCCAGTTGTAAACAAATACGGCAGGTGGAACTGTACCATTTTCTGCATAGTAAAAACATCTAAAATGGGACATGTCCGGGTTGGATTGCTGGAATGTACTCAGCTAGTGGCGGTCTTGGCAAGGTCATTTGATTTATGCAATGTCAACCAATGAGACGCCTTGAGTATGAAACCATGTACCATTCAAAATGTAGGGCTACAGTATGGTACAGTAGCTACACACAACCTTTGTGAACTAGCCTCTGGCAATTGAACATTAAACATGGCTATCGAACATGGCCCATTTCTAGGGTGAATCATCCCATGGCAGCCCTACGGCACCGTTGGAAGTGCCAAGTGCCAGGTCCTCCCATGGTGTGGAAAAAGAACTCCGGGGGCTCCAAGCCACCTTGGCAGCTGATGGGCATCCCTGGTGGGCTTGGTGGACAGGGAAGAATGGTGGGCTTGGTGTAGGAATTCCGCTGGCCATGTACAAAAAACATCCTTCAGACAAATCAAAAAAAACATGTAAGATCCCATGTCAAGTCTGGCCTGCTGATGGCTTTTCCGCTTAACAAATAGGATAGGCTTCCAGCGAAGTGTCATGCCCTGATGGGTGGAATTCGGATTGTTGGAAGGGTGATTTCGCATCCCAAAACTCTGAACTGCACTTGTCAAGATGTGTGACCATGCCAGAAGAGCCATGTCTTCTCCTGGAACCATGTCTCTTTGGTCACACATGGAGGTTTCCTAAAATAGGGGTACCCCTAAAATCATCCATTTTAGATATTTTTAGATTGGGATTTTCCATTTTCAATAAACCATCACCATTGGGGTAGCCCCATGACTATGGATACTATGGAAAGCCCGACATCTTGCGTGCCAAGAGACTGTAGAAGGAGTTCGCCACAAATCCTCGGGCCTTCGGTTCCCGACTGCCCTTGGCGAAGTGCGGCAGCGTCCGATTCACGAAGCCGTCCTTGATGCGTTGCCCACCCACGTTTTGCCTGGGAGTTGCCACTTGGGTCAAGTGATGCCACATGGATACACCTTGATGGCCTTGATGTATAGTCTGTATAATAATAACTTGTCAATGAACAAGCTCTGGATTTAATTAAGATATTTAAATGTGCTAAGAGAGGTGAAACAAAATCACAGGACCTGGTTGCAGGACTTTATGTCCGTGACTTTTCACAGGGTATCAGGTCTCTCTTAGACCTGAAATGACCCCAAATCCATCCCAAAAAGGAGCGTCAAAGACCCAAACCTTGCCCCGTTGCTGCTTATTGCGGCTATGGCACCCATATTTTGGCCACTCACCCACATCACAGATCATGACCCAGGATCCATGTATGGTATATAGTATATACCATACATGGATCCTGGGTCATGATCTATATGATGATATATATGCTAACATTTGGGGTATATTGATGGTAAACGTATGTAAATGTTACCATATATAGCAGCACCATGGATCCGTCATGGGTGATCACTCCGAGCAACTGGCCCACGCAGGCCATCATCTGACACAAGTTGATGGGACTGCCCTTCGAGCCGCAGGTGGCCATGATCCTGGGTTTGTTGTAGAAGGCCAACTTCTCTTCGCACATGCCTGAAGCGAACGGATTTCCAGCAACACCGGGCTTCCTGCGCCATGTTTTTTTGAACATGTAACATGGGGGGATTCCTGCAGATTTTTCCTTGAACCAAGTAACATGGAAGTTTGCAACACTTCGTTGTGCGGGACGCAGGTGTTGTACAACAGTAGTTAAACTATGGCCACGTATGATTGGTGGAGCGTGAGAGATGGATATCGGGATGGGTATCGATCGGATACTCCTCACGACTCAACAAGTATTTCTTGACGATCATTCAGTTGGCAACTGGGATGCACATGCAAGTACACCATAGAGCTCACATTCATGGATACCCCAACTGGGTAGAAGTTGGTGGCATAACATCCGTGAAGTTCCAGTTACACCCAGTGAGAAACTGGAAGAGGCCAAGATATTTGACATAAACATTAATAAACCTGACTTCAAATGAAAGACACTAACATTCCACAACCAATTTCTTATGTTGGATCACAGGATCACAGTACATCCTGGTCCCCTGGGGCTGCTGGGGCCCCCTTTCGGCCCCTGGTTGACATGGCGCTTCCCACCATGTCTCGAATCCTTCCAAGCTCTCCATTGACCAACGCTTCCAAGGTCTGCTCTGCATTGCAGCCAGGTTTGTTCTCCAGTGTCCCGCTGTTGTACTGTCCTGCAAGCGGCGTAGGAACAAACGCCGTCTGGTTATGGTTCTCCGTTGGATTCCTCGTAACATCTGGCGTACACATGTCATAATCTACTTAAACTATGCGAAGACGATAGTCAAAATATGTCAAAATCAAGCCCTCTGATGGGTGTGCAAGATCTATTCCCTCGTGGATCCCATATTGCAAGCTCCAACCGAGCCGAATGACCAAAAAACAACTCATGCCTCAGTCCTCAAAATTCACAGATTGGTCCTCTAGGGAAAACCCACCATATCCATCTGCCATTTTTTTTTTGATCTTTGGGATGCAGAATGCGTTGATCAACTCTCTAACAGGGCTCAAACATGCTCAAACTGTTTGGCCGTACAAAATTTGTTTCTTGGAAACAGACACATTCTGATGCTTCAGACCAAACCATACTAGTCCAAACCCAGCTTCCGATGTATCGTGCGACAGCTCCATACTTCTCTTCGGTGATTCGTTGTTTCTCCACAGACACTCGACCAGCCCCCTGGCCATACTCGGAATTCACCTGAGCAACGTCTCGACCCTGGACGCGGCCGGTTTCTAAACATTGAGGACCCACACACTCCACACAATCCACTGCTTCAATCTGTTGATTCATGGCATGGTCTATTGAGGGCCTCTTTGGATCCTCAGACACCACTTGAAAGTGATCGGACCCAGGGCTCTGAGCGAGCCATCCAAAGCACATCGTCTATGAAATAAAATCCCAAAAAATGCTGTCTAAATGGACACGTCATTTACAAATGGTGAGATTTTCCAACAAGCCGCGACCGGAGGGTACCGCGTTTGAATCATCCTCTTGCTTTCGCCCCCCAAAAAACAAGCCATCTCCGAGTCACATCGTCAATTCCAATGGTGAATCCGCGGTTCATCAACCATCGACTCGTTAGCTTGGCGATGCGACTCATGCAGTCGATGGCAGATTGTGCACCGCAATCGCGGATGAGTCCTGAGTAATTACGCATCCTGGACAATGGACAATTCACCGGGGGAAATTTTATACTGTGAGAAAAACGGCTCATAGAATGGCATACCAAGAATAATATTAGTTATAACAGAGAAAGTTAGAAATAGACCATATGAACCAATGAACATTGGGGATTGATTACTATTTTCAAACAAACCGATTCAGAGGATGTTATTATATATACATATAATTTATATATAATATATGTTTTTTTATGTGATTTTATATGTTTTTTGTGTTTGAAGGTAAAAAAATGTAATTTTTCCCCTCCAATCAGTCAGGCTCACATGTGCGAAATGGCAGCAAATGGAAGATGTTTGCAGTGGGAGAGTCATAATAGAACCGGAGTTGTGATGTGACAGTGTCTCCGATTATAGCCCACCATGATGTTGAGAGCAAATTGGTTTGAGTCCCGGGAACACCCTGCTGCTGCTACGGCTATGGCTGCATCCCTCTCATCAAAATCATGAGCTGGGTTTCTGGAAGGATTTATTAATGGGGATTTTGGAGATGGTCAACCCCGACCTTTGAGCGATGGATTCGTTGAACTTTCGTCTTCGGGGTTTCATTTCCGACAGCAACACAACATGAATTGATAGTCCCCCCCACAGTCTGACCTGTGGCGGTCCACGGGTTCCTACAAGACCTACAAGATCCTACAAGTGGGTTCAAGTGGGTACAACCATGACATGACTCATGACTCCTCCATACCATTCCATACCCCTCTTGGGATGTCTTCGGCACGTCCATCTCACCAAGGCTCTGAAAAACAAACCGTTCTTGGCTCCTCCCAAGACTTTCTTGCCCAAATTGCCGCTGAGAAGTTCCGAGTTGCGAAATAAAACCCAACCATCGTTGGGGCACATACTCACACCCTTTTTGGAGTAGTTCTTTTCAGGGACTTCCAGATTCACATAGATTTTCGAGCCTTGGTTGTGGCCGCGTCCAAGTCATTGTCCTAGCAGGTCCGAGTCGATGTCCCGTTGGCCTTGAGACAGTTTACTACCATGTTTCACGGGTAATACTTGGTAATAATATGTACTGTAATAATGAATCAATTGCGGGAATCCCAACATCAACCAGGCAACCAACCACTAGAACCACTCCATGACATCCTGAACTGCTCTCACACACAAAAACCGCCAGACCTAGCCCAAAAAAAAATTCTGAAATCCTTTGCCGAGAGGCGACGATTGGGTCGCAGCATGACGCTAATGGCTTGTTTCCCCGTCCACAACTCACAGGGCTTCAGTATTGCCGGGGGCGGCAAATCGATCGTTTCCAAGCCATCCTCAGTATTTTTTTTCCCACGCGGGGGCGGGAAACAACGGGAGAAAACAACCAAGACTTCAGGGTGGAAACCTCAAACTCACCCATATGGATGGATAATAATATATACCGTAATACCATTATTTACCCATTTGGGTAATCTTGTGTCTCAAGTGAAGGACAATATCGGACGGCATTCATTTGCCAGTAAAACCCGGCCACGCCAGAACAATATTCAGTGGCCATAGGAATGAATGAAGGGCCTATGTATAGGAAATTTTTGTTAATGCCACAACTGTTTCATTTAATACATTGCATGGTTGAATGAATGCATGACCGAATGAATCAATAGATGACTCAATGACAGTTTTCTTGCGCAGAAACATAGACCCTCCCTTGGCCGTTTGAGCCACAAATCCTGCAAAAACACAGTGTTGCCCGCACTTTTCTCCCCCAAACTCACACGCACATGTGCATTTGTTCACATACTTGCTGATTCTTACCTCATGTGTAAGAATCCCAACTAGTGATGTTTCCTGCGTGGCGGAGTCAGTGATCTACGAACTACCCCTGACCATTTCTCACTAACTTGGAATTTTCCAATTAAATTTACTTTGATGGTATATGCAGATTGTTTTTTCAAGTTTCTTTGCTTGTGGGTGGTGTTTTTCAGGGTTCTAAGTTTGCTTCTTTGTCGAGGTTTCAGGTTGAACGGACCATGTAGTTTCCAGGCGTTTCTTGTTGCATCCGAATTTGGGCTACCCAAGTTTGACTTTGTGACCCATGTGTATGCCAGGCTAGACAACTATTTCTATCTTGCGGATAACTGTCGTCATCTCATATTTCTACTACAGTACCCTAGTATAGTTCAAAACATTTCAAAACGCTTCTCATTATCAAAGGAAGTTTAATTAGAAAAAATCCGCTTAGCGTTCACACCATCATGTCAACCACATCATCATGTCAACCACCAAGTAGTTGGGAAGTGCAGCAGTTCGGAACCGTGTGACTTCACAGGTGGCAGCGCTCTCGGGCGGGAAACCCTGTGTTTTTACGGGTAATGTGGCTCCTGGGGTCGCCAAAATTTCCGTGGGTCCGCGGCTCGATCTAGGAAAGTTGTCGACAAAATGTGCACAGGACTGTGGCGAGAGCTCGATTTGCACTTCAAAACGTTGAAAAATTGTCACGTGTGGAACACTATTGGACGATGAAGTTGGCAAAAAGTGCACGAGACTGTAGCGAGAGCTCGGCTTCACAAAAAAAAACACAAAAATCTGGCACGTTCGGAGTAGCGTGGAACCGTCCCCATTGTCAGCGCTGCGCGAACGTTGGTCGATGTGGTGCGACGCTCCTGCTTTGCGGGTGTGCAACAGGCTGTGACCAAACCCAGTGGCACGGCTGCGCGCAGCAAAGCTTTCAGTGATGCTGCGCTGCGATGCTCCTGGCAAGCGGGATTGCAGCTGGAGGTTGCTCAACGCATTGTAACAGCTGCGCGAAAGGAAGTTCTTGGCCATAGTGCCACTCTTGTGCTATGCCATGCGGGCTTGCAGCTGCAGGTCGCGAAATGCATTTTAACAGCTGCACGAAGAGAAGAATTGGGTTGCAGAAGTTGGAGAAGAGCCAGCTGGGAGGCAGCTCAGAGCAGGGTCCGAGAAGAAGTAGCCCAGATAAGAGGCTGCTCAGAGAAGTTGCTGAGACAAGAGGGACCTCGGCGAAGAGGTTGCTCAATGAAGAAGTACCTCCGCAAAGAAGTAGCTCACTCATCCATCCATTCATTGGTTCAGCCAGCGATTCATTGGCTCATCAACTCACTATATAATTTGTTGGTTGATTCACTGATTCACTGACTCATCGGCTCACTATTGATTGACTGATTCATTGACTCACTGTTTCATTGACTCATTGATTCATCAACTCACTACTTCACTCATTCATTGTTTAGTTGGTTCATTGAATCACTGATTCATTGCGCCATCGACTCACAAATTCATTCACTAGTTGATCCACTGATTGGTGCCTCATCCACTCGGTCATTCATTCACTGATTCACTGCTTCATTGATTCGCGAAATCTTCAATTCGCTGATTCATTGCTTCACTGACTCATTGATTCATTGAATCATCGATTCATTGGTTCGCTTTTTCTTTCCTGCATTGATTTACTGAATCATCGATTCATTGATTAGTGCATTGAATTGATTCACACAGAATCATTGATTCACACAGAATCATTGATTCACACAATCATTGATTCATTGATTCATTGGTTGAATTCGGTCAGTTTTGCATGGATTCTTTCATGTCACGTCATTTGCGTCTCAACCACCATTTGCTCATTCGTTGATGCGCCTCACAACTTCAACAATTCGTTGCTGCTGCATCGTAAAAACTTTCCTATAGGCCATTGATTTCTTATAGCCATGAAGTTTTTTCGAAAGTTGCCCCCAGCATGGGCCGGGCACCATCTGGTAGTTACTTTATGTTAGTATCGTTTCTACTATATATAGCTATCCCCATTTGTGTAAAACTATGGATAACATATTTCATGTAGAGGGAAAAAGTGGAAACCCCCATCAGTCGGCAACCAAGGAACTGAGAGGAAGCAGCAAAGCCTCAGCGAAACGTGCCGAGGTAGATCATCATGGGAAGTGTGAGCCGGGAAGGACTCATATCCATCTGTGATCTATGAGAGCTACAAAACTGGTGGTTTCAGAGGAGCTTGACGCATAATAGTGATGGAATCATCATCATCCCAAAAATCATGGACAATAAAACTACTTCAAACCACCCAACCAGATGATTACAAGCGCATACAAGGACAGCCAATGTATATACGTATACCCATTCCATCGAAAGTACCAGCTAACTATTGTTGGGATTTAAAGTCAACAACTGGATGTCTGAAATAATTTGACTCATGACTCATGGAGATATAGCCTGCCTATGTATGAAGCAAATAGCACGAAAACAATTAACTAGTCCTGGGATTTTGTCTTAAGTTTATCAATTATATGAGCACTAGCGTCCATCTTGGATTAATAGACCTTGGAAGATAAATTAGTGGACACCAAATAATGATGACTTGATGCCATGATGATAACCCACAACTAAATAGCCCGGTGGTTTATGAATCTGCGGTGGACATGAGGATATTTGGATGTATCCAAAATGGGAAGTCCATGGATGTCCCCCCCCCAGCTGCAATCCGTAGCGGGGTACTGACAGAACTTGTCCCGCGAGAGGTAGACATCTCTCTGTGTCAAGAGAAACGCACCAGTGAGGAAGTCCTGCCCCATATGATGATATGTCGATCCCAGTTTCACCATTTCTATGGTTGACTTTGGGAAGGGAAAACCGACGGCTTGGGATAGTGCAAAGTTTCTGGAAGTACAAACATATCTGTAGTACTGTAGATTTCTTTACATTAATACTAAGAGGTGTATGATGGTGTATGCCCATCCCATGATTCGTGATCTATTTGAATATCCCATTCCATTGGGACAGAACATCTTACCACGTCAATCCACATCATTCTCCAATCCCCAGCTCAAGATTGTAGTTTTTGTGCCCCGTTTGATGAATGAAATGATATCACCAAACTATAACGCGCTAATTTCATGAGATTTTGTATCAACAATCCCAGATTTACTCTGATATCCAGGATTTTATGGGTTTGACTGAAATTACCCCTAAACTTGATGGTTGATCATCAAGAAGTGGCCAAAACTGGGAAAAAGAAAAACACAAAACATATTTGAACTCAACCAACTAGGATAACTAGGATATACTAGGATTATATGGCCATGAGTCAAAAACCTGGTACCCCAGGTACCCCAAAATACATGCTTTGTGGATGTTCCTTCCCCCTGTCATATGGGATTTTCATAGGTTTTGACTCACCCTGACCGGGCTCCTGCGTGGCGCAAATGGCCACCTCACCACTCTTGGGCGTCACCAAGCCATCGCGAACTCCCATGAGTTGGTACGCCTGTGATGCGTCTGGGCAGCCCAGGGATGTGATTTAAGCATGTTTTAGCCATACGTAACTGGGGTACAGTATGGTACAGTAAACTGGGGTAATTTAATGTAATTTATTTCAGTTTGCGATGGAACATGGAAAAGCATTGACCACATTTGGTTCGATGATTTATCTATTTGTTGAATGGCGATTCTCATGGTTCATATTTTTAAAGGTGCATCCCAGGAATCGTTGGGTTCATGACCTATAAAACTGGGGTAAATTATCCTGTGGAACTGAGTTGTTGTATGATTATTGCTTGCCGTTCTTGGATGCGCATGCCGCTTATATTAATATAGTGGTTTAGGCATTGGTTTATGACCCATCCGTAAGCCATATATGATGAAACTTGGGTGTATTTCAGGGTCCCAGAGGTTCCTGACGAAGCCCCTGCCTCTGCTCTGGCTTCTTCGGTTTGAGGCAAGTGAATATTCATTTCATCTCCTCAAAGGCTCACAACTTGGAAGATGATGTGGAAAAGGCTGCAAGTATTATCTGCAGCATGTGTAAGATCAGAAAACCACCTTTAAACCAAATCTTATTTGCGGTTTCAGCATAACTGAAAAATCTTCTCGTCAACGGGGATCATCGTCCCAGGTAGGATAGAACTTTTGGACCTTTGCTTTCGAATGCCGTTATTAGGCCTCTAAGTTATACAGTATCTTGCGTTGCAACTGTGAAATGGTGGACCGAGCTTGCCTGCACAAGCTATGGCAGTGAACGCTTGATGACGGATGCCACAGTTGTCAAGGGGACGACCAACTTATATAATTACCAAGCACGTGCAAATGCAAACATGCATGATTAACGGTTCACGCTGCTTGGGCAGGGGGTCCAAACTTCGGAGAGCCAATGATATATGAGTGGCGGACAAAATTACTTACTACTCGCAAAGGACATGGCCACAGTGGGTGGTCCCCTATCGGTTGTGAAGGTTTGCACACAGATTTGAACATCCCAAGTTCACTCCCTACTACTTTAGTCTAGCGTTAATTTTGTTGGTTACTCATGTATATATATATATAATATATATATATATAATGTATTATATATATATATTAATATGGACCCCATTTGTATCATTTTTGTTCGGGGTTCGATTCTGAAATTCCTACTCGACCGCATGTGCTCAAGTAAAAAGTGTTCGAGTTTCTGGTTTTTATGCATAGCAAGTGAGCTAGGAGACAATTGTCAGGTATGGTGACCAAGTGATCCAAATTCCATCAAATTACCATGCCCAAAATTACCAAACTAACGTTTTTTCAATTCGCGGAAATTTGCGCTCGTTTTGTGGGTTGCAATTTGTACGGCTTAGACAAAACAACAAAAAATGAACGATTTTGGCCTGAGCCACTTTGGTTGAGTCAAGATTAGCCCAAATAGTTTTGCAGGGGCCATGCACCATGCAAAACTGAAAAAAAACATGCGATTTCTGAAGATTTGTCCGTTTGGCATGTTCTATGAATTTGTGATCGTGTTTCGAAATGTGGAACGAATTGCAACGGACGAGGCTACAGGTATACATACACATGATGATCGTTGAACATTGGACACCCTACTTCAATGATAGGAACACTTTCCAAGGATGCTATCTTGACTGGCTAAAACAATAAAAAACGCAGTTCTAAGATGTTCTAAGGTGTTCCAAGTGCCGGCGTATGCCACACATTGAGGCCGCTGCAACTCGCAAGCTGGGGATGGTCCATTCAGCGGCCGCAAGATGGGGAAGGGGTGAGATCAACGTCCCTGGTTTACTCCAGCATCAAATTGCTATGGTATAACAGGCTTCCATTTTAGCCAGTTAAGTTGGGCAAAAAGAACAGTCTCACCCAAGAGATCAAGAAACATTCATCTATTTCCCTTGAACGGCAGCAGCAACAAGAAGGCAACCACAACAACTGCTAAACCTCTTGTGGGGAAGAGACAATGTATACAACATGTTCCAAGAAAAGAGCCAGAATGCAATCCATAGACATGAATATAAAAACTGAACCAACCCCTGTGCAAACAATTCACCCCTGTCATATCGGAATTCAAAGGGGCCCATGACTGATCATGACTGCACATCTTCACACCACCTCTTCCCAGACATAGAAATCCATCGCAATAGATACCCTCTGGTTATTTAACATAGCCATGGTATAGATGGCCCATAGAAATAGATGGTTTACCTAGCTACAAAATTGTGATTTTCCATGGCTATGTTAGTCATAACCAGATGGTATCCAGTTTTTTCCATGTTTTTTCAAGTTCATCGAAATCACTGCAGCCAAATGTCCATCGAAATCAGCATTGTAGGGTGCACAAACGCACTCGTTGAATCGAAAGGTACGACCAGGCATCACTTTGGCCCGGTGTGCCATAATGGATAATCGATGCAAAGACCTGGGTCCCCTGGGTTGAAGGCACCAATTTGGGACGATCCTAGAAACCCTCGAGACCTCTTGTATTATGGTGTTATGGCTTTATAAAATGTCTAGGTTATCCATAAATACACATTTTCTTACAGTAGAATGCGGCTCAGTGTGCCGCTTGCTCTTGGCACCATCCCAATGCTTTCTCATCATCTTGGCTCAAACTCGACTGAAGTCGCACTTTCCAAGGGCTAGTCCCCACTATCCATCTTCCATGCCAGGACCGCGGTACGGCCACCTATGGCAAGGTGCGGCTGGCGGTTGAAGAGGACGATATCACCATCACGCATGTGTCGTTCCACCATGTCGCCCGTTTTCAAACTCTCAGCCATCCTGGTGGAAACCGAGAGTACTCCGAGATACTCCGAGCCAACCAGGAAGCCCAAAATCATCAGATGGTCATAGGTCATTAATAGGGATAATATGGATATGGTGAAATAGGCTATCCCAATTTAATGAGAAACAACAAAAAACGATGAGAAAGTGAAGTCGTACATTATCTTCTAATCTTCATCTTGGAGCATTTGAGGTTCTGCAAAGACTATATATATAATATTATAGAAAGCTGTCTTATTGCTCTTGAACATTCTTGCGTTAGTAATAAAACATCCAATAAAACATGCTAAGCATTGGTCATGGTGACTTTCCTCTTGGGGTAAGACCAAGGCATTTTTCAAACATAATTACTTGCTGGTGCTTGAAATATCAAAGCCGTCCCACTTGTCATCAATTGGCTAATCAGCCGGGAACACTGTAGACTACTTTGATGTTCCTAAAGCTCCGACAGTTTGACAGTTCCTAAGAAATAACAGCAGCAACACATGACTGGTTGGTGGTTTCAACCCCTCTGAAAAATATGAAAGTCAATGGGAAGGATGACATCCCATATATGAAATGGAAAACAGAAACCATTTTGGGGATGGAGGTTCTCCGTCCACGGCCAGGCACTGCTTCCGCATGTTGCGCTTGATGACTCCAAGAAATTTCCGGCGTCCGTCGGGAGTATGGATGCAACCTGACGGCGGTGCTTGTTGGGTGTGTCTGATAATAATGACCAATAGATGATAATAGGGTATATGGTATACAAACAAATTCTGATAATGATAATAATGACCAATAGATTCAATAGATGATAATATATCATTTACCTAAATTCTATTATCATTCTGATCATTATGATAATAGGATATACTGTACCCCAAAATGATGATAAACATTGAGACACCCTTCAAGTTCCGGCGAACTCGACCCAGGTTTACCATCAAGGACCCAAGGAAGAGTACTGCTTGGTTAGGAACGGGATTCCCCGTTGGAGAGTGACAACTCTGTAAAAAAAGGTTGATCAGTTACATCCACAAACACTTCATCTCATAACCCCCATGCTTGAACCTGGTTGAAGCCCCCAAAAAATGTTCCCAACTAGAAAATCATCAAACTATGGTACTATATGATGTACTATGCCCCAATTTCAATAACCAGAAAATCATCAACCACTCCCGGCACCGAGCGACATGCACCAGGATGTTTCTCTGGACCTCGATCGATGGCTTCTCGAAGCCGCTGGATGTTTGCGTCGCAGACCTGCGGGCTTTTTCCGTCCAGGTGGAAATCACCAGCTACACCAATTTGATCCAATTTCTACATCATTTTCAGAGGGAAACAATGGGATTTCATAGGTTTTCATGGGTTTTCATGGGTTTTCCATGTCTGAGTAAACTGAGTAAACCGTGCCTGTTCCATCTAATGGAAGGGGGATCTAAATTGTCCCTTCAACCAGTTCAACAAATTCATCAATCAGTATGAATCAACCATAATTCAAATGTTTCCCATGGTTCTCCAACTCTTTAGCTGCTCAGTCGTCTCCATACATTTTGGATTGTTGTGTCTGAAAATTTGGCACCGCCCAAATTTGAATGCTTAATCATACTTTCCCCTGTGAGAAATGGCCACAAGGCATACTAGCCATTTTCAGACACACAAACATCATATCAAGTCGAACATACTCCAATGTTATGCCATGACATCCCCATTGGCCCATCAACAATCAGATAACAATCAGTATGCCATAAATACTATATTTATAATATAAGCATCTATAGACTATATACCAATCAATATACCATAAATATATACCCCAGGTTTATATAACCGTTAAACCCCAACCCCATTGCCGTTCTCCGTTCTCCGCGCCTTCTCGGGGAAGGTCATCCGTTTCGCCACCCACTCGGGGATCACCACCTCCTCCACGCTGACGTTGGGATCCGGCGAGATCACGGTTCGAGCTGAGAAGTCCACGCGTTTGCCGCTCAGGTTGCCACGGAAACCTCGGCACTGGGCCGATTTTTTGGAAGGTGAAAGGAAGAGGGACTGGCATTTTTCAAGATTTTTTTTGGGGGATGTATGTTTTTTTTGGTGGAAGATTGGGTGTTAAGGATAATTTGAGTTGATCCTCCGATGGTTTTTTGATGTTTGGATGGTCTTTTTGATGATGCTGCGTAGTGCTGGACTATTCTTGTTGGATAGAGTCTGAAAAATGGCAGCTTACCAGGAGAAGCAAAAAACACTTCTCCTGCAGAAAGATCCACTACCCGATAATGGGGGCTATGACTATCCATAACTCCGTAAATCTCCTTAGCTCATCGGCCGGTTCATCTGCAGAGCAAGAGACGCCCTTCTTTTCCTTTAAGTCTGGTGCAAAGAGAGCGTACCATTTTTCCTTTGATCTGCGGCAGTCCTGACATCTCCTCATGTGAAGAGCGAGAAGAGCAAAAAACGAAATGGATCACGGCAATCATTTCTCTGTATAGAAAAAGCAGATCACATACAAGTGGCTGAAACTGAAACCAGGATTCTTTTTTTGTCCAACAGAAATACCATCCAGCCACTGCATCCCCTTGGGGAAAGATTTCGAAAAATATTGCTGAAATTACCAGGCAGTCTCCGAATTGATGTATCTGGCACATGCTTCTTGGAGAAACTCCTGGGCGAAGTCAGAGCTTGGGCACCCAGCAGTTGCGGAATGCATCCACCAAAACGCTATTCAAAACAACATGCTCACATTGAGCATTGCCCTCCAACAACATTACAGCATCATGGACTCCTGAAAAGAGGGCTCTCAAGAGGAGCGTGGTTCATGTGGTTCAGGGGTCCGGGCTTGTGTCCGGTCTTGGGAGTCTGGGGTGGAACTTCCACGCTCGACATAAAGCTGGAACCCTCCTTCCCTGGAACTGAAAGACGTTGAAAAGCCGTAATTGTCCAGTCCCATAATAGATCAACAAAGGCAAAAATGACCAATATTTATATCGTGATCTTTGTTTGAGCGGAAGAAATGATACAGGAATTCAATGGAGTTCAGGGTTCTTGAGTACCACGGCTCACTTGAAAGGGTCCAGTGGACTTAGCTTGACTCTGAAGGGGATCATTCTAGAATTCAAATGGGCCGCTGTTGCAACTTAGGTATCTTGATCCTGATGGGAATTTCTACCTTGTCTGCACATCATCCGGTAAAGCCTTTTGGATCGAACCCAATCTCATGCTACCCATATACTGAAGATGCTTCCTTTACAACTACTGCAGAGCTACATATACTACATAATTCCGCAATCGTAACCTCTGAAGTTTGGGGTGCTACACCAATCAGTGGCAGTTCCCAAGAGGTTGTGACCAAAAATCATAAACACCGAAAAGCACCGGCTTTCCGTACTGAATCAAAGCTAGGAGGGATTCCTGTTTGCAGGGTTACCATCCCCCGCCCAGCTAAACAGGCTCTGACCTAACAAAAATATAAGAAACATCAAGCATGATCAAACATGATCAATGGTTTGTCTGAAAACACTAGGGACCCACTGATGGATCATGATTTCCCTATAATAAACCCCTTCCCGCTATTACTAAACCCCCCCCGAATAAAAAAGATAGGGTTCATCTACAATTTTGGAAAATTTCAGGTTGGCCAATTTGACTTTTAATTGATCCCCTTTAGACAACAATTTAAAAATAAAGCTACTATTTGTGGGTTTCACCCCCTAATAATAAAAACTAGTCAGCCCCAGTGTGTGTTTTTTATTAGGGTCCGTCCGAAAATAGTTTTTTTTTTAATTAAGAGTTTTAATTTATTATTAGGGTCCGCTTCGAAATCCAAGTTTTGGCAATAGTTTAATTGCGTTATAAAAGGAACTTTAATTGATTTTGAAATCGAAAAAAATAGTTTCTTTAATTAATTAAGGGTTTAAGTTTATTATTAGGGTCCACTTCGAAATCCAAGTTTTGGCGATATGTTAATTGCGTTATAAAAGGAAATTTAATTGATTTTGAAATCGAAAAAACTTATTTTTTTAATTAAGGGTTTAAATATATTATTAGGGTCCGCTTTGGTTCCCTAATAATAAATACCCCCTAATAGTAAAACTACCTGAGGTGTTTATTATTTGGGGAGGGGGGTTTGTATTATTAGGAGGAGAGGATTATTTTCCCTATGACAAACGTGTCATTTGGATTCATTTGGGTGCTACATCCCAACCATTTTTAGACACTTTCATAACACATTTAACATCATTTAACTCATTAACCAACAACTGGTCAATTTTTAGTTTTTTTAAAGTTTTTAGACGCTTTCACATTAACTTAACATTCACCACGAAATGGAGTCCCAACGGCCCAAACTATGTCCAGGTGAGCGTCCCAGGCTTCCAGAATCTGCCGAGGGAAGCCCCGCGCCAGCTGCTGCTGCAGAGCTGTGTTGGCCTCTACGATCTGTCCCACCGCCACGGTCAAATCGTCCTCCCGCGTGCCGCGGTCGCCCATGCTCCTAGGGCCGGATGCGGACCATGGGGGGTACCATGGGGGGTACCATGGGGCAGTGGAGGTTGTGATCACTTTTTTTGTTAATGAACATCAAGAAGTCAAACATTAGATTTTTCTGGCTCGTGGTTGGAACTAAGTAAAGGATTGCAAATGGAACCAAATGAACCAAGAATAAATGGCAAAAGGATCGAAAGGGAAGTACTTGACAGGCAAACTTGATCCACAACTCAACATAAAAATTGAATCTACAACCATAACCATGGACAGTGTACCTGCAAACACAAGTATCTTGCACACACACAAGTAGCAAACGTAGGTAAATGATAGTGAATGAAATCATGAAAAAGTAGTTCAACAAGGTCACCAAACAATGGTGATGTAATTGTCCTCAAGCCCCGGACCGCTCAATTATTTGATTGAAATCCATGTTTCATTCTGAAGCTGGAAGTCCGTGCTCGAGAAATCGAAGTTTGTCAGTTTGGATAGACATAATTCAAAGTGTGAACAATTTCCCAAAGGTCCCAACATCCTGCAAGTGCAGGCTCGCCACAGAAACCTGCCGAGGCTTCAGAAAAGACCTGCCTATCTCCTTCAATTTATGAAACTTCGAAAAAAAACATACAGGACTTGCCAACCATTAGGATTTAGCATTCAACCAAAATGGATTTATAGATTCCCCCCACCTTCAAGTTTTTAATGCCCCGAGTAAACTCAATAAACCCACAGTCTCTTGCCACCAAGGAGCACGGTAGGTCGGATGCACACCGGTGGCACCGGCACCGCGAAGAGGATGAGTTGCTCGGGACGTACTAAGCCCAGCAGTTCGCGATCAATGGGTGGAACTCTCTTCAACAACTCGTAGGCTTCCTCGGATTAAAAAACATGTCCCATTTTAACATGTCCATCTCCCAACTGGCCGGTGAATGGTCCGGAGAGTCTCTGGCGATTATATGCCATGCTGCTAATTGACACATATTCATACATATTCACTCTATACAACCGGGTTGAAATATAGGGGATGACCTTGTGCAGGGCCTTGGTCTGCTTTCCAACCTTGGGCATCCGGCATGACTCCATGACATGCCTCATTCGTGTTTTTAACCGTGGCTCCCAACACAAAGCTACACAATTGATTCCAAAAATATATTCTACACAATGTTTCTGGGCTTTTATGTGATTCCAAAATCAGCAGCTACATTTTCTTCCCTTCTTCTGGCTGGAGAACTTACCTTCAAAAAAGGTACTTAGCTACAAAGTGTATTTGCCCGGACTGTATATGGGAAACTGAAAATTGACGAAACTTTCGCTCACATTGTGGCCCCGGCCTGCCATTCGGCTGAAATTTCAACCCCGATCCAGCTACATCTCCCCTAGGCACCGCATCTCTTCTCGAATGCCGTCACTAATGCTGCATGGCCAAAGCCAACAACGGCCACTAAAAACATATCCTGTGAGAAACATGTGTCGATGCTGTTCCAACTTAATCCAATTGATAGATAGCACTTTTATAGTTACACATATCGAGTTCAGGCCACATCTTGAGCTTTTTCACAGATCTCCGCCATTTTAAAAATGGCCGAGTTTCCAATGGGTTGTAATCTGCAGATGCCTTCTCAGCGTAGGGCTGGAGTTCTTTGTTGAAATCTCTGGCGTCTCGGAAAGTCTCGGAGAATTCTTTGCTCATGTCATCAGGTGCGTTCCTGGGGAGAACAGTCAACAGCCGGTAGCCAGTATAGTCAGTATATATATATATATACACATGACATATATATATATATATCATTTATACATATATATATATAGTACTGAGTGCATGTATGGATATGTATAGATGTATAACTGTATAATTGATTGAACACTTGGAATCTTTGGTGGTGAAACAATTCTTTCTGAGAGTTGCTTTCTAATATGTTTGGTCCACTTGAAGACCATTGCAATCGTTGCTCCCCTCTTGAGTAGCAAGTTTAGGGCATCTCTATCATGTTTGATCCCTCAGTTCTTGTCTGAAAATGAACATGAGCACGTGTGTGTCTGACATGTGGGCAGTCAAATTTATAGTCAACGTTGGGACCTTTCCTTCCTTCTCAACTACGACGCTTAGGGCATTTTTAGCTACTCGTTCAAAAGGGATCCATGGAAGTTTCGCATGCCAAATCCAAAGAATTCTGGCCCGGCACTGGCAAGAAAGTCCTTTCAAATCATCCCAAATTCACCGATGAAAAACTAGAACCACCAAGCAGTTATGTTGGTATATATTACACGTAAATATAGTATTATAGAATCACACACATGGAACATGCAAATATAATACAATATATATATATATACACATACACATTATGCATAAATATATGCCTGCATGCATGCAGATATGCATATAATATCATATATACATTAAGATACAGACAGGCAGACAGACAGACAAACAGAAAGACAGACAGACAGACAGACAGACAAACAAACAAACAAATCGGCAAAAAAAATACATACCATACATACATACGTACGTATGTACGTACGTACATATCATTACAAAACATTGCATGCCATTACATAACATTACATAACACTACATAACATTACATAAAAAATTACGTAACATTACATAACGTTTCACAACGTTACATAACATTCCATACCATTACATAACATTACATAACATGAATAACATTACATACCATTGAATAACATCACATAACATTACATAACATTACATTAGAATACAATAAATTACATAACCTTACATTACAATATATATTACATTACATTGCATTACATTACATTACATCAACAAAAACAATATTAACTTACATTATATACACTGCATTACATTAAAAACATACGTACATACGTATATACGTACATACGTTTTTACGTACATACGTACGTACATATAGTAATTACATGAATTACATTAATCACATTAACTACATTAGTTACATCAACTACATTAATGACATTAAGCACATTAATTTACATTTTCTATATGATGATATGAACAACAAGAATTACATACATACATTAGTTTTATGCATAAATCAATTACATACATACATGCATACATACATACATACATTACATACATACATTACATACATACATACATACATATATATATATATATCAATTGCATTACATTGCATTGCAGTGCATTGCATTGAAGCCCATTGCGTTGCATTGCTTTGCATGGCATTGCGTTGCATGCATACATAGCTACACACCTACATACCTATACACATACATACCATACCATGGCATACAATACCATGACATACCATACCATAACATAACATAACAAAACATTACATAACATTACATAACATTAAATACATACATGCATACATACATACATACATTACATACATTGCATCCAATTTCATGCATTACATACATTACATAAATTACATACATTACATACATTACATACATTAAATACATTATATACATTACATACATTACATACATTACATGCATTACATGCATTACATACATTACTTACATTACATACATTACATACATTACATCCAATTTCATGCATTACATACATTACATGCATTACATGCATTACATGCATTACATGCATTACATACATTACTTACATTACATACATTACATACATTACATACATTACATACATTACATACATAACACACATAACACACATAACACACATAACACACATAACACACATAACACACATAACACAAATAACACACATAACAATCATTACATACATTACATACATTACATACATTACATACATACCATACATACCATACATACCATACATACCATACATACCATACATACCATACATACCATACATACATACACACATACATACATACATACATGCATGCATGCATACATACATACATACATAGATCCATACATACATACATACATACAATACCATACCAAACCATACCATATCCATACCATAACAAAACATTAACTAACATTACATTACATTACATTAATTAAATTACATTACATTACATTACATCACATTACATCACATTACATTTCATTACAGTACATTACATACATACATACATAAATATATGTATATACATAATGACATATATGTATATATATACATACATACCATTCCATACCATAGCATACCATACGTTACCGTATCGTACATTACCATACCAAACACTACCATGTCATACTTTAGCGAACCATACATTACCATACCATACATTAGCATACCATACATTGCATACATTACAGAACATTACAATTACATACCATTACATAACATTACATAACATTACATACCATTACATAACATTACATAACATTACAAAACATCACAAAACATTACAAAACATTACATACCATTGAATAACATTACATAACAATACATAACATTACATAACAGAGCATACCATAGGATTGCATTACAACCTAATATATATATATATTTATAATATGCATATTTAATATTAAATATACATAATATATTATACATATGTATGTATCTGTATGTCTAGATATACCTACGTATATATATATATACACTATACATATTAGATAACACTTGGTAATCAGACCTGGCCCTGCAATTGGACATCCTTCATCTAAACATGTTCTTCTTGGATTTGGGGATTTATATGGATTTATCAGATTCCCAAAGGGTACGCCTTATCGTTGCCATGATTGTCTGTCCTTGATCTTCCAAAATCATCAGCAATCTCCCAACCAGCAAATCATATAATATACTAAATCTGGTTGGTGGTTTCAACCCCTCTGAAAAATATTAGTCAGTTGGGATGGTTATTCCCATATATTATGGAAACATAAAAGCCATGTTCCAAACCACCAACCAGTATATTATACTCCCCCCCCAGGCGAGATTCTTGTTGGAGGGGCCAACCTGATGCTTAATCATCAATGGCACGCCACTTCCTTTCCGCACGGAAGCGTTATGCTCCTCAGTACCATTCAGTAGCCATGAGTTGAGCGGCGTTTGGGGTCGACCCTCCACTCGTCAGTGCCCAGGTGGTCTGTGGATGTCTTTGGCGGAAGTTTTGATACTTCAGACCAGATCCTTCAGGATGTTTTTGGGAACAACATGGAAAAACATGGAAAAACAAAAAGAATCATGTGAACACGCTCTACCACACCAGTGAAACCACATGATCAAACAATTGGCTGGCTCTTCCCAGATCTTGCTAGTGACGCCAGCTATACCCGTACCGAAAACCCTACTGAACCGGCAAGAATTGGTTTCAGGGATCTAGGAACCCACAACTCAATCCATTTCTTGTCAAACTCCGCAGAATTTCCTGCGGATGTGCCGCGGTCACATGCCGAACTTTCAGGACCTTCCGGGTACTGAAACAACGACTTGTTTTACATATTTTATCAGAGAATACCCACCCATACCCCATCTTTGAATCTTTGGGAACATGCTATAGATTTCCGTTGAATTTTCATTAGATTTCCATAGATGTCCCATAGATTTCCTATGAAAAAAAAATCCGGACCAAGTTGCCCGACAATGTGGACACACCCGGGTCAGCTTGCAGCTTTCCAAGATCCTTGGCGCAGGCGCAACTGAACGTCACTGAAGATGATTTGGCAACTACATGCAACTACTTGCTTCAAACATGTCGTCAAAGCCCCTGACTTTGGTGTGTAAGATCCACAGTTTCACAATTAAGATCCCCGTGTTCACCCTCTTCATTGTGCAAGTCACATTGATCAGACATTTCCGTTTTTAAAATTTGCCAATGAGCAAGTGGGGATGGGTAGCTATTTTTGGGTAGATGAACATCATTCAACATCCGTTTGCAAATGATTTTTTGTGTCAAGTCAGCAGGGTATAGCAGGGTTTTGGCCCCTACAAGTAGCAAAGTCTCTTGCAAATCCACAGCGTAATCATCATTTTCCCTACTACGCTGGCCATATATTAGGGTTAATTTGACTAACCATTTTCAGACACACCCATCTTTCCATGAAACATCTTTGGTTAAATCATGTCAAATCCCTTTTTTTGAAGGTGAACAAGTCCCATTTTACGCCCAAATACTGTATCATCTTGATATGCATATATCACAAATCCCCAGTATATCCCCATTGAAATCCTATGAAATCATCATTTTCCCTATGTTTTCCCCATGTTTTGTTCCCAAGTCTCTTCCTGTGCAAGCTCTGTTTCTGCAGGTCGTCCGTTGTGGGCTTCCGCAGCCGTCGCACGTAGCGCAAAGCCATCTCGGGCGACAGCATCAAACGGCCGCAGGCCTTGGGGAGCCATCACATGACATCTCGTCTATACAAGTGATATATATATATATATATAGATAATATATATATATATAGATTATATATATATATGAAAATAGAACTCTTAGATTGATTGATGGATGGATGATATAGATTTAAATTCGATATATATATATATATAATACTTAAAACACAATGGCCTATAGATGGTAATCCCCCGCAACCACCGAGTTGGCCCAGTCGAGTTCATTGATGCAGATGGAAATCTATGGAATCCTTCTGCAGAAATTGGTGTTTTTGGAAGACCCTCTTGGTATTTGAATCAGGTCTTTTGATAGCAGTCCGAATTCAAGCGGTGTTTTGAACAGCTATTTTCAAAATCTTGGACAGGAAAAGACCAGAAAAATAGTAGACAAAAACAAAACACCAGAAAAAATATCAAAAAAATACCAGAACAGAATAATGCTAGAAAAAATCAGAACATCAGAAAAAAAACCAAACCGAAAAGGACTAGAAAAATACTAGAGAAAAAACAAAAAAAACTAGAAAAAGACCAGAACACCAGAAAAAGACTAGAAAAAACCCAGAACACCAGAAAAAGATCTCTAGAAAATACTGAGGAGTTTTGAAATACCAAATCAACACCTGTCCAGAATACCAGCACCTCTCAAAGAAAGGATTTCAGCAACATCCTCTATTCTGGGGTTTGGTGTACAAGGGTTCCGCAGGTGTTGCGAACGAGAGACTTTGCAAATGGTTTGAAGCACCTGATGCGTGTGCCTCACAAGGGTCAGTGTAAACATACAACAGATTCGCGGCCCAAACCCACATTGAAAAAATATATCAGAAAGCACATTGGGTACGTCGTATGCGACACAGGTATGGCTCACTGGGAGTCAAATCTGCACAAAATTGCTTAATTAGATCATAATTAATCTATATAGATGCTTTTTACCATGCTATTGAACCAAAAGTTGGGGTCCATCATATTGAGCCAGTGCGCCAGTGCCTAAGCCCAGGAAAAGAACAAGAATTCTCATGTTCAAAGCAAACCTATGGGGTTTTTAAAAATCGCATTCCCTCCCGCTCCAAGACTCATTCGAAATCCTAAAACCGAGATCCAGCGCCCTGATGCTTGGGCTACTGGGATCGTTTGGTTCCAGCAGTACCCTCCGTCTTCCTGAAGCCTACCTATAATCCGCATTCAAGGACTCAATATACCCTCTGGTTATTTAACATAGCCATGGTATAGATGGCCAATTTATAGATGGTTTACCTATTAAACATGGTGATTTTCCATGGCTATGTTAAATAACCAGAGGGTAACCCTTGATAATTCCCTTGAGAACGCCTGATGATACCACCATATTTAGTACAAACCAGCAATCTCTTTCGGATTCTTTGCCCATTTGTGATGCTTCAACCCACAAAAAGTGTGTTAATCAAATAGCTTCACTGCTTCCGTCCACCTTTTTGTATCATCTCTGGATTATATTACCATCTGGTTATTTAACATAGCCATGGAAAATCACAATTTTTATATAATAGGTAAACCCAGGTCAACCATCTATAAATGGGCCATTTTCCATGGCTATGTTAAAGAACCAGAGGGTAATCCTATCTGTATGGCCAATGGTAGATACCCTCCACAATCCTCCACATCATCTTTTTAGCTGGATAGTACTGTTCCAATCTTTTCCATACACATCCCCATCATTAAAATATATCCAAGGTCGACTCAGTTCCTTTCCAGTCTGCTAGCAGATGCCCTCTTTTTGGCAGTCAAAACCCGAAAACCCATGGTCTTCATATCAAATATACCTGGTCGTCGGATGTGAACATCTCCATAAAGAGCTGTTTTTTTTTTTAACCCACTGTCCATATATGGATACGATCAATATACTGTACTACAGTATATCAAAAAATATGGGCGAAATATCCATGTCCCACAAATATAATATCCATAGTATGAATATTCAAAATACATATGTTCATTATTCTTAATTAATTCAGTAAATTGATTAAATTATGTTAAATCTTCATCTCTGAAGCTTAAATCTGACATGACCAACATTTTCCCTGAAAACAGCTCCAAACCCAGTGGCCTCAGAAACCCCGCGTGGAACACCGGCAAGGCTAGGCTGATGTGTCCGAAGTGGCCCACGCACTCATCGATGCGCTTGTTGCATGTGCCACAGAGCCCAGCTTTGCTGTTGCCTGCCATGGGAGTGGGTCAGAAATTGCTGTTGGCCCAACAAAAAGAAGCAGATTCGGGTCATTTTTAGTATGAATCATCCAATTTTAGGATATTTTAGGTGTGGCTAATTTTTCACCCATAACCATATAAATTCATCACATTGATCAGTGATGATCAGTGAATATCAGTGAAGGATGGACTTTTAGAATTGGAGGTTGAGATGTCTGGTCAAGAAACATGTGGATGTAAAATTTGGAGTTTAAGCAGGGCCGACTTCCTTGATGAGTGGACAAGCAAAGACAGCAATTAGTGTAAGGTGTCAATGAGTGGCCATGCTGAGGGCAGGTTCGTTAATTACTGCAATAGACATTAAAAGAGTTGCATACATAATCATATATACAAAGTGCTTGAAACCACGAATCAGAAAAATCACGACTAAATCATTTTGTACATGTTGTCCCCCTTGCTGCAAATAAGTCACTGCCCATGCGAGAATCCAGTGGGCCGAAAATGAAGGTCTTTTCGGTTGTAATGTCCTTGGTCCAACATGACACATGGATGGTTCAATGCTATACTTGTGAAACAATCAAATGGCAAAATTCCCTGGGTTTGTTTATCTTTTCGATTTCAACACTTTTCAAGAGACAAACAAGTCTTTACGACTACGTTTTAGATTTCTACCTATGCTTCTGGTGAAACACATCTGCTTCCTGATCTGGATTCAGATCCTTTTTATCCATGCCCCCATTTATCCTTCGCAAATGGTGTGCAGGGAGGGGCAGCCAAGGAAAGGATTGGTAAGGCTGCTTTCTGGGTGAATACAGTTGATTGCATTCCCCCTTGAACAACAAAAACGCAACGGTCAAGTTGGACCCTCTTCCCCAACAAGGCTGACAAAATCTGACAAATAAACATGGACACATAAATTCACACAAATCAATGTTCCCTTAATTCCCAGTGATGGTCTGCTTCAATACTCGTATTTTCGTGGGGATTTTTTGGCTGTGATCATCCCATTGCTGTCTTCTGGGATCATTTGGAAGGATAAGATAGGAGACGTCATCCAACATCATCCAAGTCACAAATATTGATCCATTTGTCGAAGGAAGTTTAGA